GTGTGTGTGTGTTGTGTGTTGTGTGTGTTGTGTGTGTGTTGTGTGTGTTGTGTGTGTTGTGTGTGTTGTGTGTGTTGTGTGTGCTGTGTGTGCTGTGTGTGCTGTGTGTGCTGTGTGTGCTGTGTGTGCTGTGTGTGCTGTGTGTGTTGTGTGTGCTGTGTGTGTTGTGTGTGTTGTGTGTGTTGTGTGTGTTGTGTGTGTTGTGTGTGTTGTGTGTGTTGTGTGTGTTGTGTGTGTGTGTTGTGTGTGTTGTGTGTGTTGTGTGTGTTGTGTGTGTTGCGTGTGTTGTGTGTGTGTGTTGTGTGTGTGTGTTGTGTGTGTTGTGTGTGTTGTGTGTGTTGTGTGTGTTGTGTGTGTTGTGTGTGTTGTGTGTGTTGTGTGTGTTGTGTGTGTTGTGTGTGTTGTGTGTGTTGTGTTTGTGTGTGTTGTGTGTGTTGTGTGTGTTGTGTGTGTTGTGTGTGTGTGTGTGGGTGTGCGTGTGTTGTTGTGTGGGTGTGTGTGTGTGTGTGTGTGTGTGTGTGTGTGTGTGTGTGTGTGTGTGTGTGTTTTGTTTTAAAGGTGCTCTTGTGTTGTCCTTGTTCAGACGCACTGCTCTTTGCCTCCTTCTGCGTTTGTGTTGCTTTTGATCCAGCATTTGCCTCTCTTTTTGAGGTGTTCCTCTTTTCTCCTATGCCTGGGCAGAAGGTAAAACTTCGTCCGCTACCTTGGTTTTATTTCCGTTTTCATTGTTCTTTGCGTCCTTTGTCGTTTCTCTGGGTTTTGATCAAGCATTTGCCTGTGTTTTTGAGGTGTTCTTCTTTTGTCCTGTGCCTGGGTGGAGATAGAGGTCCGTCACCTTGTTGCTTTTATTTCCGTTTGCATTGCTGTTTGCAAGCTTGTTCGTGTTTCTTGGCAGAGCATTTGCCTATGTTTTTGGGCTGTTCTCCTTTTGTTATGCCTGGGTAGGAGAGAAACTCCATGACCTATTTTGCTGGTATTTCTGATTTCATTGTTCTTTGCCTGCTTCTGCGTTTGTGTTGACATTTGTTCCAGCATTTGCCTCTCTTTTTGAGGTGTTCCTCTTTTCTCCTATGCCTGGGCAGGACATATGCCTGGGCAGGAGGTAAACCTCCGTCCGCTACTTTGGTTTTATGTCCGTTTTCATTGTTCTTTGCGTCCTTTGTCGTTTCTCTGGGTTTTGATCAAGCATTTGCCCGTGTTTTTGAGGTGTTCTTCTTTTGTCCTATGCCTGGGTGGGAGATAGAACTCCGTCACCTACATTGCTTTTATTTCCGTTTGCATTGCTGTTTGCATGCTTGTTCTTTTTTGGCATAGCATTTGCCTATGTTTTTGGGCTGTTCTCCTTTTAATTTGTTCTGCCTGAGTAGGAGAGAAACTCCGTGACCTATTTTGCTTGTATTTCTTTCTGATTTCATTGCTCTTTGCCTCCTTCTGCGTTTGTGTTGCTTTTGATCCAGCATTTGCCTCTCTTTTTGAGGTGTTCCTCTTTTCTCCTATGCCTGGGCAGGAGGTAAAACTCCGTCCGCTACCTTGGTTTTATTTCCGTTTTCATTCTTTGCGTCGTCCTTTGTCGTTTCTCTGGGTTTTGATCAAGCGTTTGCCTGTGTTTTTGAGGTGTTCTTCTTTTGTCCTATGCCTGGGCGGGAGATAGAACTCCGTCATCTACATTGCTTTTATTTCCGTTTGCATTGCTGTTTGCATGCTTGTTCGTGATTTTTGGCATAGCATTTGCCTGTGTTTTTGAGCTGTTCTCCTTGTCATTTGTTCTGCCTGAGTAGGAGAGAAACTCCGTGACCTATTTTGCTTGTATTTCTGATTTCATTGCTCTTTGCCTCCTTCTGCGTTTGTGTTGCTTTTGATCCAGCCTTTGCCTCTCTTTTTGAGGTGTTCCTCTTTTCTCCTATGCCTGGGCAGGAGGTAAAACTCCGTCCGCTACCTTGGTTTTATTTCCGTTTTCATTGTTCTTTGCGTCCTTTGTCTTTTCTCTGGGTTTTGATCAAGCATTTGCCTGTGTTTTTGAGGTGTTCTTCTTTTGTCCTATGCCTGGGCGGGAGATAGAACTCCGTCACCTACATTGCTTGTATTTCCGTTTGCATTGCTGTTTGCATGCTTGTTCGTGATTTTTGGCATAGCATTTGCCTGTGTTTTTGAGCTGTTCTCCTTGTCATTTGTTCTGCCTGAGTAGGAGAGAAACTCCGTGACCTATTTTGCTTGTATTTCTGATTTCATTGCTCTTTGCCTCCTTCTGCGTTTGTGTTGCTTTTGATCCAGCATTTGCCTCTCTTTTTGAGGCGTTCCTCTTTTCTCCTATGCCTGGGCAGGAGGTAAAACTCCGTCCGCTACCTTGGATTTATTTCCGTTTTCATTCTTTGCGTCCTTTGTCGTTTCTCTGGGTTTTGAGCAAGCATTTGCCTGTGTTTTTGAGGTGTTCTTCTTTTGTCCTATGCCTGGGTGGGAGAAAGAACTCCGTCACCTACGTTGCTTTTATTTCCGTTTGCATTGCTGTTTGCATGCTTGTTCGTGTTTTTTGGCATAGCATTTGCCTATGTTTTTGAGCTGTTCTCCTTTTAATTTGTTCTGCCTGAGTAGGAGAGAAACTCCGTGACCTATTTTGCTTGTATTTCTGATTTCATTGTTCTTTGCGTGCTTCTTCGTTTCTGTTGTCTTTGCTCCATCGTTTGCCTATGTTTTTGAGGTGTTCGTCATGTCGGGCGTGTGACCCCAACCAACCCGCTTCGTGAACCTCGCGCGCCGTTTGAAGCCTCGCTTCCAAACGCTCTTCTGACCGACCCCTGGCTCGCAATCCAAACTTTGCCGTTGTGCTGCTCGCAAGGCTAAATGCCCTGGATTAGCCGAAGGATTTGAGCCATGGGGGCCCTTCTAAGGGAGCATAGGGCACCGGGATTCGGTGGAATTTGGAATCTGCCACTTTGACGCTTAGAACAAAGCAAAAAAGGCCCGACTCAACAGGACGTATAGAACAACGCAAAACGCAAGTTTTAAAACTTCCTCCTCCGCCGGTCTTTGGGTCGGTCGCCCGCTTCTCCCACCCTCCGCCGGTCCTTGGGTCGGTCGCCCTGTTTTTGCAGGATCCGCGTTGGTTCTCGGGGCGCCGGTTGCCCCGGGGGGTCCTTGGGTCCCCCTCCCGTGGGCCTTTATGCAAGCACATGGGGACAGATTCTAAATTCATCTAGGTTTTTCTAGTTGGGGGGGCTGCCCTGCTTGGTCCCTTCCTGGGACCCTGCAGGGGCCCCACAAAACTGATACGGAGTTACAGGTAAACTTAACAAATTTGTATTTTTCTTTCCTCGCTCACTTGCCCGCAGCCGCCTCAAGGGTCAGGAATCCTATCAGAGTGCCCAGCCTAGGTATGCACAGTAGGACACTCTGAGGCTGTACAGTCTGTACATGAACGAAGCCATGCCGCCAAACACCCACACCACCCGAACCCCACATCACCCCAACCACCCACATGACCCGAACCACCAAGACCGCCCCAAGCCACCCGCCCCCTGAGCCACCCACGCTGACGAGCCGCCATCCGCACCGCCCGCCACCAGTGTGAAGGCGCCCCCCTCTCCCAAAAGGCTGCGAACTAGCCCTAAACCCTAAACCCTCATAGCGTCATCCCTGCAAAGGGCGCCCAAATCCTCCAACTACCCCAAGCTGCCCAAGCCGAAGCCACCCAAGAAACTCCCTAAGCCCTGAGGCACCCTAAAATGGCGGGGGGTGGGGTCGGCGGCACTGGCGGTAGCCATTAAATATGAAACCTGCAACTTGTCTGACACCTACACCTCGTGCTACAGCTTCGGATCAGCCACGCATGGCCCCCGAAAGCCTTGCGCGAAAAGCCCGCCGTCCACGGAAATGATCTGCCAAGAAACTTCAGGCAATTGTTCTCAACTCTTGCAGACAGTTTCAAGGACTTTACGTTTGACATGACCATGCATGGAAAAGGGGTTCAGGATTGATGCTTTGGGTCTTCAGAGCCAAAACATTGCTGCCTGCTGCGATTGCAGAAAGGTTCAGCCTGCGTCTTAAGTTGCGAGTGGCTGCTGGGAGAAGATAAGAAGGTTGGAACTTGAGATGTTCCCCTTCTACTATAACAGGTGGTACCATAATCCCTATTAAGGACTCTTAGTATAAGGGGGAGCATCCCAAGTTGAAGCAACTGTGCAGATTGCGTTGGCAACCATTGTGCATAAAGTCTAAGGGCCGCTATCATCCAGGGCCAAGGCAAGCCCTAAAACCCTAAGACCCTAAGACCCTCAAACCCTTAAGGTTTCCCTAAACCCTATTATAAACCCTACACCCTAAAACCCTTAAACCCTTAACGCTCTTCCGTTAGACTAAGGGTTCAAGTCATGCTAGTGCCTTCGTCCAAGGCACCCCGGCATTCACTCAAAGACGCGAAAGAAAATCCCTCAAGTGCTTGTCCGGCTGAGTCGAAACCCCTAACCCCCTAACCCCTAAGCCCTAAACCCCAAACCCCAAACCCCAAACCCTAAACCCTAAACCCTACCCCAATGCCATGAGAAACTTCAACCATGACCCTCGAAATTGAGCGTTGAACCCGGCCCTCACTGCACTGCCTGACCCGTGATGTACGCAGCTGCCGGCATGCCTGTGCTGGAAGAGAAGCACTGCACCCTGAAAACTCTCATCCCTTTGGATGTTCCCCCGTATACTCACAGTCCTTATTAGGGATTCTCACAGGGAGTACTGTAATGCTTAGTAAGGACTGTGAGTAGAAGAGGGAACATCCCAAACTTGTCCCCTTTTACGCCCTGCCCGGCGTCCCTGAAGATCCAGTGTGGCACAACTCAAAACATTCCGAAAAGCGGGGGTTTTTAGGGTTTTAGGGTTTAGGGTTGAGGGTGGGTCCCTTTCAGGGACTTCTCCTCTACGTGGGATAGAAAGGGGCACCTTGGGATGTTCCCCCTTATACCAAGAGTCCTTAAAAGAGGGACCATAGTAGGGAGTACTGAAACCCTATTAAGGACTGTTAGTATAAGGGGAAGGGGTACCCCTATTTTGGGAAATACCATTTCGAGACCCAGCTGCAGAGGAAGGCCACCGCCCCTGCTGTGTCCTCGGGCTCGCCGAGGCGGGACAGTGGTGTGACCTTGGTGTGGTCCCAAGGCCCAAAAGTTAGGTTGTAGGGTTGTAGGGTTGTAGGGTTTAGGGTTTAGGGTTCAGGGTTTAGGGTTTAGGGTGTAGGGTTTAGGGTTTAGGGTTCAGGGGGATTCCGGGAACCTGGGACAACAAAAAAACACGCAAGGGAGCCTTTCTTAGGCTGATCAAGGCTCACCCATTGGGATGTTCCCCCTTATACTCACAGTCCACCCTAAACCCTATACCCTATACCCTAAACCTTAAACCCTAAACCCCTAAACCCAACAAAAACGGCGGAGCTGCAGGTCTGGCTCGTTTTTTTTTTGGTCTGGCTCGACCCTCCCAGGGCTCTTCAGGGCTCGAAATCCCACCAACCCCCCTGCTTTCTTTCAGCCTATGAACTGACAATACAAAAACGGGGGCGGGACGGAACCAAAAGCCGAACCAGCCCTGCACCCTCAGCTACACTGGGGAACTTACTTGCAGAAGCAATTGCGCAGAGTAGGGAGCTTAGAGCCTTCGCAGGTCTTGGGGCTCAGAGGTTCTGTAAGGCTGAAGGTTCAGGCCAGATGTAGCTCAGGGTTACAAAAATGTTATGTGCATGGTGGCCCTCCTCAAAAGCCTGCTTGATAAGCACCAAACCATGAAACAAACACGTCCGCCCCCACCTTACTACCAAGTCGTCGCGCGAGCGTCAGGGTATGCAGGGGCCCGCACGCGCTTGACGTCCTCCAGCTGCTGTGGGTTGTTGCGCACCTTACCCGAACATCCAGGCAATGAGATGATCATTTATATATTATCTTCTATATATTATATATTGTATGTTATATTATATATATATTGGCTTGAGCATGCTGGAGCAATCAAGGACAACCCGTAAAATCTCGACTCCCTCCAGAGCTCTCGGGATTCTCGTGACCAGGTTTCCCCGTGAGCTGGGGAAAACTCGAGAAGGAAGCTCGTTTCCGGGCTTTGGGGAGTTTAACCCTAAACCTTAAACCCTAAACCCTGAACCAACCCTAAACCCTGGCCAGAGCTAAAAGACTAAGAATGGCCGTGCACGCACCTTGCCTGAGGACCAGGCAGCCTCCTCCAAAAGCGGGGTGCGGGCCATCCATGGGCAAACCTCTGCAACTTGCGCGCTAGGTTTAGGGTTTAGGGTTTAGGGTTTAGGGATCGAAGCTGTACATACGTTACTCAAGGTGTTGTACCAATCTTGAAGGTCCAAGCGATGCAGCTGGCTCAAACTCCCCACGCCCTAAACCCTTAAACCCTGAACCCTAAAACCCTAAACCCTAAACCCTAAACCCTAAACCTTAAACCCCAAACCCTAGACCCTTTGTGAATGAGGTTCCGGCGCAGTTGACCCGGATGCCGAGAGGACCCCATTCACCTGAGACGGACGCCGCATGACGCGACCCCACATCGGATCCGGAGCTTCTCAACTCCTGTTCTTACATATATACAGATACAGTAGCAAACTCCAAAAAGTCGGAACATCCTTATCCCAACACCCCAAAAGAAATACTAGAGGGAATCCCAGCTCTAGTCATCCTTAAAACCATGTTCCAACTTTCTGGAGTTTTTTCTGTATACATTTAGATATTTTAAGATTTAAAGTGTTGTAACGTTTCTATGGTGAGGTTGGGATTCTTGTTCTTATCGCTGCTCCACCACTCTTATGAGGCCCACGTATAACCCTACTTATATGTGAACCTTCAAGTGAGAGTCCCCGAAAAGAATTTCTAACCCTGTAGAACGATGGAGCGGGTGCCCTAAACCCTAAACCCTAAACGCCCGAAACCCCCAAAACCCTACATCCTAAACCCTAAACGCCCTAAACGCCCAAAACCCAAAACCCTAAACCCTTAAAACTCCTCGGCTTCACTGCGGCCGCGGCGCATGCCAAGCTGCAGGCAAGGTGCGCCATGGCCTTGGGATGCGAGGGTTGACGAACTTAAGGAGACCCATGAGTCACCAAGGCTTACAATAGGGGGTACTATAATCCCTTTAGGGTTTAGGGTTTAGGGTTTAGGGCCGGGTTTAGGGTTTAGGGTTTAGGGTTTAGGGTTTAGGGTTTAGGGTTTAGGGTTTAGGGTTTAGGGTTTAGGGTTTAGGGTTTAGGGTGACCCAGGAGTAACCTAGAAATAAAAGGGTGCCCTTTTTGGGTTTTAAGGGGATTACAAGGGAACCCCACGAAAAAAAAAGGAAACAAGGGCCTACTCCGCGTCCTGGTGTGGGTTTCGGAGGCACAGGCTGTAGTGGCTGCGGGTTTGCGGTTTAGGCTTTAGGGTTCAGGGTTTAGGATTTAGGGGTTAGGGTACAATTCCGATGTGGGAGCTTTATGATTTTATGGGGCGGGGGTGGGGGGGAAGGTAGAAACCCTAAGCCCCTGGCGAGTTCTGTCAGGGCCAGGGCAATTGGGCGGGGTGGGCTCCCCACCCCGGCGGTGGATGGGACGTGGAGGCTTCGGGCTCTGGGGGGGGGGGGGGGGGGGGGGGTGGTTTTCGGCTTTGGGTTCTTCATCCTATACCTGTACAAGGTCCTAGCAACCCTGCTTGAAGGTTCATGGGTAGTTATAAGTAGGGCTAGAAGTACCCTGAATAGGGTTGTAACCAGTTTTAGTTTAGTTGCCCTACTTACAACGCTACTTATAATTACCCATGTACCTTCAAGTACACCGTGTTTAGGATTCCGTGCTATGGGTGCTGAACGTGACTCCTCCAACGAGTTATTTTGAGTCAGAGGAAAACAGTAAACTTCCCAAGCTCGTGAAAACAAAAAGAAAGCACCCTAGACTCCAAAATTAGCCATAAGACCCCTAAAGTTCATACAACCGCTGAACGCCATGAACTTCAGTGCTCAGCGGCTGCTTTCGTCATCGCGTAGACAGACCCTGTGCCGGTACTCCGCACACCCGCTGCGCTCGAGATGTTAACCTGATCTTAGGCGGTTTAGGCACCAGGTTTCAGGGCCCTAAGCTCTAAACGGTCTGCAGCCCTTGGACAAAAACCACATGCAGAGTTCATTGTCTGGATACAGGGTTGAAAACCCCAGAAAAAGAAACAGTTAACTAAAAACCTACTTGTACTAAACTCGTGTTGTGTCTTTACCCTGGCAGGCAATGAAATCGAAAGATGCACACAAAACTCAATCGGGAGATAATTGCCCGTCAGGGGGGGGGGGGGGGGGTCCGAACCCCATGACGGGGGAAAAAGCCCAGAGTTGATTTTTGCAGGTATATGCTTGGCTCAGAAGCCATTAACTCTAGATTGAATTGCTTGTTTGCCTTGGGTCTTGGAAAGCTATTAACCCCAGATTTGATTGTTTGTGTCCTGGGTCTGCGTCAGGTGTCCCTACGTTTGCCTCGGGTCTTCAACAACAACCAACTCCAGAGTTTACTGACCCTAAACCCTAAACCCTACACCCTGAACCCTGAACCCTAAACCCTAAACCCTGAACCCTAAACCCGAAACCATCTGGGCGAGCTGCCACTGAGGCCCTCGACGAGCGCTCAAGCATGGGCTTGAACATCTTGCCTCAGGCGAAAGGCTTCGTCAAGGGTTTGGGTTTGAGGTTTTCAGGTTTTGTCTTTAGTTTAGGGTTTATGTAGGGGTGAGTTTTGTTTTTCTGACAGCCGGTAACAAACAATCGAATCTGCTGGTTGACTTCTAATCTCACTTTGCTCCCAGGCTGCACAGGAACCAGCAGGAGTCGATGTTGGTTCGCATCATGTTGTAGTACTCTTCTTCGGTCGCCTTCCGCCGGCACTAGCGTCAGGGGCAAAGCCGCAGGGCCGTGGAATCCTCATGTTCATCTTGTGCCTTGGGACGTTCTCCCTTATACTAACAGTCCTTTAAGAGGGATTATAGCACCCCCCCTTCTATTACAATCCCAACTAAGGACTAAACCCCATCCCAAATTGAGGGTTACCCAGTTTGCGGCTGTCCTCCTGGATGGGCTTCCGGACATTCGTGCCGACGTTGTTCACCAGGCCATCCAGGGACCCACCCCACAGCTTCTGCACGTGTGCAACGAGCGCCTCTGCCATGCGCTGAGGGTCTGGGGTTGAGGGTTTAGGGTTTAGGGTTTAGGGCCTCTACGTGAGAGGCATCTCCATCGGTTTACACTGGGGGTCGGGAGGAGGGGGAGCGAAGAGGGAGGGAGGGGAGGGGGAGGGGGGAGGGGGAGGGGGAGGGGGGGCGGGGGGGGGAAGGGACTCAGAAGGCTCCAAAACCCACCATGCCCACAATCTCACCCTGTGGATGGACACCCGAATCCGACCTACGCACGTAAAATCAAACTCCTCCTCTGGGGTAAATTGGGGGCCGTGTCAAAATTCAAAGTTTTATGGTTTTATAAGGACTATACAGGGGATCTTCACACCCCTACCCCTGTCGACTCGAAGCCCAAACCCTAAAACCCTAAAACCCTAACACCCTTAAACCCTAAAACCCTAAAACCCGAAACCCTAAACCCCGCCAGAATCTCGAAGCCCAATCCCTGGCAAAGAGGGCCTCGCGGCCCTCCTTCGTGGAGACATCGGCGGCAATGCCCGAGGGCGAGCGCTTTGTCAGTGAGCTCAGTGAGGCACAGGTCTCCTTCTAGGGTTTAAGGTTTAGGGTTTAGGGTTGAGGGTTTGGGGTTTAGGGTTTAGGGTTTAGGGCTAGGGTTTAGGGTTCAGGGTTTAGGGGTTAGGGGTTAGGTGAAGGAGGGTCAAGAGGCAGCCCAGGCTTCCTCCGGGAGCTCTCATCCCTACACTTGGAGGTTCATGGGTAGCTTGAATACGTGTCCTGAGTAGGGTTTAGGGTTAAGGGTTTAGGGTCTAGGGTAACTTGGGATGATCACCCTTATACTAGCAGTCCCTAATGAGGGACGTCGATAGGGGGTACGATCATCCCGACTGTTAGTAGAAGGGGGAACATCCGAGAGGGTAACTAGAGTTCAAGCTGTTTATCACGTGATTTTTCGGGTACTTGCAAAAACTGCTTAAAGCTACCCATGAACCTTCGATCGAGTATTCGACCCCCACAGGCCTTAGGTCATAGCTCGCCCTCTGCCCCCTACCTTTAGGATACAAGGCCTCCGAACTCATCCCATTGATTCTGGCCTAGATCCCCTTAGAGGTGGCTTCTCACATCCTCTACTGTTCCTAACAGCCCCCAAACAAACACAAGACAAAAACACCTAAAAGACCCGCCCTTATAGGGGAGCTTAGTCTTCTATTTTTGGGGGCACGTTCGAAGCCCCTAATCCCGAAGTAATCCCCCCCCAAATATAAAACCCTTTCAATACTCCCAGTATAGGGATATGATAGTTTGGGCGGGGGGGTGGGTCGGGGGGGGTCGGGGGTGTCGGGGGGGGGTCGGGGGTCGGGGGGGTTGGGGGGGGGTTGGGGGTTGGAAGGGGTCGGGGGGGTTGGGGGGGGGGGGTCAGAAGGGTCGGGGGGGGGGGGTCGGGGGGGGTCGGGGGGGGTCGGGGGGGGGTGGGGGGGGGGGTCGGGGAGGGTACTTATGTAATATTTTAGGGGGTGGGTGCGGGGGGGGGGGGGTCGATATCTACCATTTGCTTAAGAACCCCCCAAAAATAAAAAAAGATTCTTCCTTATAAGGGCAATATAGGGATTATTAGTTTTTAATCTTTTGGGGTTCTTAAGCACATAGTAGTTATTAAGGGAAGGGGGTTCCTAACCTGGCCGCCTCCACCTCAGCCGCCTTGCGCGCGGTGATGACCTCAAAGAATGACCATGGTTTAGGGTTTAGGGTTTAGGGTTTCAGGGTTTCAGGGTTTCAGGGTTAAGGGTGTAGCCCTGTACCTACATAGGGAGTACTTACTAGGCCTTAAAGTACTTTCTATATAAAGAGATTTTGGGGCCCAAGTACATCATAATGAGGTACATGGACCCTTCGGGTAGCTGAAAACCTATCTCGGCAGCTTGTCGCCAATATGTCCCTAAAACAAGAAGCCTTACCGCGCAAAAAACCAATACTAGATAGATGACCTGCTGGCAGACCTGCACTGCCCACAGCCTTGTTAGGGAAATGCCAACTCACCTACTAGTTGCTTAAGAACCCCAAAAAAATATGTAATACCCCTAATAAGGAAGAATGCTTTCTATTTTGGGGGGTTCTTAAGCAATTCGTAGTCATGTCAGATCACTAAACGTAGCACGAACGAATGTGGCACCCGTGATCGAGTCGCTTGGGTTTCGTGGGCTGTCTGCCCCCAAGCCGTGTGGGAGAGACAACAGGACCCGCGGCCCTGGACTCAATGGGGGTTTCCGAAATTGGGTTTCCGAAATTAGGGGTACCTTATTGGGGTCCTCCTTATGATAAGGGAATCCTACTATTTGGGGGGTCTATTTCTGTAGGGGTTCCCTCTTTTCGTAAAACCCCCAACTGACTGGACCCCGACATCCGCACTCCTCGACCCCGGAGCGATCGAGAAACCAAAAACTCCACCTTACCATATCATCCCCTGACCCGCCCACTCTCCCCCACAGGGTTCAGGGTGCTCTAAACCCTAAACCCTAAACTCTAAACCCTAAAAACCCCTAAAAACCCCTAAAAACCCCTAAACCCCTAAACCCCCAAACCCTGTAAACCCCTGAACCCCTAAACCCCCAAAACCCTAAACCCCAACTCCCGCCCCCCTCAAACGCCGAGCCACAACCTCCGCGCCCAGCTGGAGCAGTTCTTGGGCGCAAGCGAGGCCTAGGCCCTTGGTGGAGCCTGCGCTTACTGGTTTAGGGTTTAGGGTTTAGGGTTTAGGGTTTCGGGTTTCGGGTTTCGGGTTTAGGGTTTAGGGTTTAGGGTTCGGGTTGGAGGCTTTACCTAGGACCGGCTATTTAGGGTTTAGGGCTTAGCAGTAGGGTGTAATTACTAACCCTAAACCCTAAACCCTAAATAGGGTTCCAGGTAGAGCTTTGCCGGCTAGGTTGCCCAGTATGCCTAGGATCAAAAGCTGCCCTTTTTGGCCTACCGGGAGTTTATACGGGAACCACAAGGGCATTTAGAAGCTACCTTTTCGGGAGGGCAAATCTCGGGCACTGAAGAAACTTGGTGCTTCATCTTAGGACAGTGGTTGGGGCGGGCGGCTCTGGTAGGGCGTAGGGCTGCCACCCACTTCAAAGGTTGAGGGTTTCGGGCAAAGGGTGTCTTAGGAGGAAGCATTGAGCATGCGCGTAGCAACCTGGTCGTTCCCTGCATGCCCAGTTTTATGTTTGGGCTTGCTGTGTTCGTAGGATTTGGCCCAGGATTTGACACGCAACTTCGCCTGTCAAACTGCCGGTCCAGAATTTGCCCGCTGGCAACCGACCCCTGTCGCCAACTTTCAACAACCCTAAACCCTAAAACCCTAAACCCGTTTTGATCGGTCGGGCGGCTTGTCAGAGAGGGGGAGGTGCTAAGGGATCTAAAAATCGTGGGGCATGGGACATGAGGGCCTTCGGGTTAGGGGTCTTCGCCTTTCAGTGTAAAGTGCCGGGGTGTGTGGAAAATAGGTTTGGATCCGAAGTGCCAGACATTGACAGCCGGCCAGTGCTGCATAAGAACTCAGGCACCCCTAAACCCTAAACCCTAAACCCCTAAACCCCTAAACCCCTAAAACCCTAAACCCTAAACCTCTAAAACCCTAAACCCTAAACCCTAAACACTAAACCCTGACCCCCAAAAACCCACGAATGGCCCGCCTGTGACGACGACCTTGAAGCCTTCAAGCGACCACCGGGACGCCGATGCCATCGAGGCTGAGCTTGCGCAGGTCACTTCTCGCGTACGATGAAGCGCTGGGATGTTCCCCCTTATACTAACAGCTCCTAAATAGGGACTATAATTGGGGGGGTACGATAATAATCCCTATTATACTAACAGCTCCTTAAATTAGGATTATTACAATCGGGGGTGCGATCATAATCCCTATTAAGGACTGTTGTAGCATCAAGGGGAAGCATCCCAAATGAAGCGTAGTAGACTGGTGCTGGGACTCCAAGTATGCAGATACTGTGCTATGCGATACGTCTCCGGGCAGTGCATCTACTTTGGGCGAGTTGCTGATGCGACTCCTTGGCGAAGCTGGGAGCCCCAAAGGCGCAAGCATGTGAGTAGCGACTAGAGCTCCCAAGCAAAAAACAAGAAGCTCCGCCACCATGACATTGTCATACCTAACGACACCTTAACAACCATTCAAAACCTAGAGTCGTCGACAGCTGTGAACCTTTGCTCAAACACGTCCTCCGATCTGAATCCGTTTTGCTTTTTTGTCCCTCCCGGGCTGGGTCAGAGAAACTGAGATCCTTTCGATGTCTCAGGGGGTCGTGGGGGAGCTGTGAGCACAAGAAACGGCTCCAAGCCATCCGGAACCATGGCAGCCGGGCGGAGCGGCAGCGATGCACCAACGGGACATCCCGGCTTCTGTAGCAGCCCACGATATCTTTGCATGGCAGCTCGGAAGTTCTCATGGCAGGGTAGGTACAGGCCGTACTTCTTGCTGAGGGGCCGACACTTGCTGAAGTGTTCCCAGGCAGCTCCCTGTTGTGTCTGCTCCAAGTTCCGTCTGGCGATTGCCAGGTCTGTGTACTTGTCTTGCATTGTGTGCAGCGCGGCAGACATGTGATCCCTCGCAATCTCGAAGCGCCTCATGCCCTCCGCAAAAGCCTGCTCACCATCGGGCTTCTTTGCAAGCAGCGTCTGCGCCGCGTAGTCGTCCAAATTGTTCCAGTACGCCTGCCCATGGAACATGCTTGGGAGCCCTCCGGTGCAGTGCGTGTCGCAGATCCTGTGTCCCTCAATACAACACAAAGGCCCTTGTCTCTATGCACTCATGACATTCAAGAAGAAGGGCTCAAGAAGCCTACAGAGGTTCCAAAGCATGCACTTGAAACTCCTGAACAAAACGTTGTCCTAAACTTCTGACGCCTCACCACTCCCAAAAGGCCACGCCACAAAATCTCCAAGCCGGTGACAACCCAAGCCAGCAGCTCTATGTCTATAGGGGTCAAAGCCGGTGCCTTGTCTCCCTCATGCAAGGTGCTCTTGAAGACCGGCGGGTACGTGCAGGAGCATCCTTGGTGGGTTAGGGGTGATGGGCTTAGAGCGTCCTAAAGGAGCCTGAAAAGTGACACCAAGATTGTCATCCCTGAAACATTGTTACAGGAATACCTTTGCAGAGTACTTCTTTAGTTAGATTCAACAACCCCCGGCAATGGGGTTTTGGTGACATTGCAACTTCTGCGAGCTTGAGTAGCTAAGAGGGGGGTAGTAGGGGAAGTCATGATCTTATGAGGCCTTGCTGATGAGGCCCAGAGTCCCCAACATAGCCGAAGAACACATTCTTAGGGTTTAGGGTTTAGGGTTTAGGGTTTAGGGCCACCAGGGTCATTTTGGCTAAGCGAAAACCTTTTCCTGCTAAACCCTAAACCCTAAACCCTAAACCCCAGACCCTAACCCTAAACCCAAAGCGTGTCTCCCGCTGCGGCGCCTCTGCCGGCGATGTCCACGCCCGGTATCTCGCCCCCCGGGTCCTCGGCAAGGCCATCCACCTGCAGTTTTACCCCCAAAAAAGGGAGGGGGGGGAGGGTTAGGGTTTCGGGTTTAGGGTTCAGGGTTCAGGGTTCAGGGTTTAGGGTTTAGGGTTTAGGGTTTAGGGTTTAGGGTTTAGGGTTTAGGGTTTAGGGTTTCGGGTTTCGGGTTTAGGGTTTAGGGTTTCGGGTCGAAAGGCGTTTGGGGCTTGCAGGGGTTCAGGCTTCAGGGCTTCCGTTGAGCTTGACGCATTTCGTGTCTCTAGGGCTCCAGGGCTGAAAAACAAACCCCAAACTTCAAACCCACAGCTGGCGAAGCAAAGGAGCCCATGCCTCCTCCTTTCGCCTTTGCTTGCTGGCCCGCAGATTAGGTTCTAACCCCTTACAGAATAAGAGCCAACTATAACCCCTTATACAATACGAGCTAACTATGACCCTTAGAAAATAAGAGCTAACTATAACCTCTTCTACAGTAAGAGCTAACTATAACCCCTTAACAATATGAGACTATAGCCCCTTTCAGAATAAGAGCTACCCTACACCTATAACCCCAGTTTATGAGGCCTCCTCCTGTTCAGGCCTAAGAGGCATTCGAATTGCGCTTCTCCGGACCGAATAAAGGGGCCATAACAATTAGAATAGGGTTCTGGGGGGCTATTACAGTATAATTATACAGGGACAGGGGTGTGGGGGTTGTTGTAGTAGAATATAGGGACCATAAGGGAAGAGTATCTGTAGTTCTTCCGACCCCTATAGTAAACCCTCTACTAATCACGGTCGGCTCTGCCTCAACAGGCGGTGCCTCTTCTCCAAACAGCAGTGACAGTGCCTCTGCACATCCGCACAAAGTTGGAGAAAGCTACGTCCGCACAAAGTTGGAGAAAGGGCTCGTCACTAACAACACGAACTGTCCTGGCCCATACTCAGCCGGAGCTGTAAATCCCTGCGTTTTCACGGTTTTCACTTGAGACGCCGCCTGACCCATGGCTGCCGGCGGAGGCAAACGATCCGCCGCGAGCGAGAGCGAGGTACTTTAGCTGCGATACTGATGCATGTGGTTACCTGGATGTCGTCCTTTTGCTGGAGAACATGAGTGCAAAGCGCAGTCCCGTCACTGTGCAAACGGCCACGATGGGAATATAGGGGGAATTTAAAGGTCAAAGCGAGAAGCAACATCCTCTGCGTTTGATCTCTGCAGGGTGCTCACTGCTGCCCTGTGTGCTGCAGGCTCAGGCTCAAAGTCACAGAATGAGAACTACCCTGAACTTGGAACACTAGCAAAAATGATCCTTTTAGCTGTTTCTTAGGCATTAGAGTACCCCCCCCCCCCAAAAAAAAAAAAAAATCTATATATATATATATATATATATTTATTTATATATATATATATCCAAGTATCCCTAGGAGAAGTCGAGAGCTCCGTGGAAGAGTGTTTACGGACTTCTACACAGCCCCCCCACTGCAGCTCCCATGGTTGCGTCTGCAGGAACGGAACGGCACGAGCCGGCTCGGCAAACGTGAGACGCAGAGAGCGCAAGAGGCGCTGGCGCGTGAGAACTGATGCCCGCTCGCATGGACTCGGCATTGCTGCTTCCAGAGTGAACTCAGGGAATAGGTAGAGTTTGAGGGCTTAAGGGAGGCGTTCTAACTTGAAAAGTGATGCTGCAACGAGAGTTCAGCGGCGCTGATCACTTCACACCTCGCCGCAGGGGTAGAGCATTCGCAGAACACTCTCGATGCTAGAACTTTGTGTGAAAAGAGTCTCGGACATAAGAGAGTCACCGGTTCTTTTCCGGTCACACAAACCCTTGTTTTTGGCAAACATGTGATAATTTTTATGGTTAGTCCATGGTTCGCCTGCTCCTCCCTACCAACTCAAGATACTAGGCCGCATCGTCTTCAGATGGCTGTCAGAGCAACCCCCCAAACCCTAAACCCTAAGCCCTAAGCCCTAAATTTTAAATCCAAAATCAACCCATAGGAATCTAAGTTTTCAACGTGAGACCAACGAGCCCTTCTCGGCTCTTCTTGCAAAGCCTCTCAGGCTTTGGGAGCTGCGGGAGCTATCGTCGGGTCCGCCGCCACTGCGGCTTCCCGCTCCTGCTGTAGGGTTTAGGGTTTAGGGTTTAGTTCTTTTTTTACCGGAATCGCATGCGCACAAGGGTTTAGGGTTTAGGGTTTAGGGTTTGGGGCTTTGGGGCGTTTTTGGTGCTTTTTTAGGGGGGCTTGTTTGGGGCGTTCTGGGGGGCTTTTTGCGGGGCTTCTTTGGGGCCTTGGGTTTGTGGCTTTGGGGCCTTGAAACTTTGCAGGCTAGGACAAAGCCAAGAAAAAGGGGGAGTTGAGGCAAAGGGGGGCGATCTCAGGATGTAAGAAGAGGCTCGGCCGACTGGATGGGCATGACCCTCAAGCCTAAAGCCCACCCCAAAACCTCAACCCCTCTACCCTAACTAAACCCACTATCCCGCTGTGAAGCCCCCAAAATCTAAGGTTGGAACCATGCGCCCTAAGTATAGCCCCTTACCCTTGTTTATAGAGATCCGAAGTATGGGCCCTCATTAAGTATAGTGTACATAAGGGTTCTATCGCGAGGGACGCAAACTAAGGGCCCCTACTTTGGAACCATGGACTCAACCCTAAACCCTAAACCCTAAACCCTAAACCCTAAACCCTAAACCCTAAGCCCGAACCCCCCAGCACCCCCCCTTTGCGACCCTTAAGAAACCCTGAAACCTAAAGCCTGCTTGGAGTTTCCCCAAGTAGTGTTGCACTACTTATAGCTACCCCCGAACATCCCAGTAGCCCTAAACCCCAAACCCCAAACCCCAAACCCTAAACCCTAAATGCCCTAAACCCTACGTAAGCCCTGAAGCTCCTTGATGAACTGCCGCGCCGACGGCAAGAACTCCTCCATCTTGTCCATGAACCGCTGGTTGTTGGCACCTGGGAAGGGTTTAGGGGGCTTAGGGTTTAGGGTTTAGGGTTTAGGGTTTGGGGTTTGGGGTTTGAGAGCTAGCCCTTGAATTGGTAGGAATGACCCATAAGGCTGCAGGTAAATGGAGTCTCAGACACGATTTGTAGCTTGTAAGGCTTATTTAATAGTTGCTAATTTGTGTTAAAGGTTTAGGGTTCATTTTAAGTATGGGGTAGAAGGGATCTGACATTACAGGCAGGGCTTCGGCAAAGGGCGTGTGACTCTAATTTTTCGATTGAGCTATACTTGGCAAGCAGTAAGCTACAACGGAAACATCCAGAAACCCTGCTTGGGGGTTCATGGGCAGGAAGATGTGGGGCTACAAGTAGGGCAGCTAGAATTATAACTGCTTATAACCTTTTTTTTAGGGCACTTTATCACCCTACTTATATTTGCCCCAATGACACTTCAACCCCAAACCCTAAACCCTAAACCCTCTGAGCCCCGAGCCATTCCAACTGGTGAGCAGCTTTCCTCCGGAATAGACGGCAAACATTGGGGAGATTCTTGCCCGCAAGACCTCGGCCAGCAGCCACCGCAAAAGGAAGCTTGCAACCCTAAACCCTAAACCCTAAACCCTAAGCCCTAAACCCTAAACCCTAAACCCTAAGCCCTAAGCCCTAAACCCTAAACCCTAAACCCTCGATGCTGATGCCAAGGCAGAGGTGCGGCTCCAAGCCATGTGGGAACTGTTTAGGGTTTACGGTTTAGGGTTTAGGGTTTAGGGTTTAGGGTTTAGGGACATGCAAACATCAGCAGAGCCGTGGGAATCTGACCTCCTCACCCTCCTGTTGGTGTGCGCATGTCGCACTTGAAGGTTGTGTTAGGTTTAGGGTTTAGGGTTTAGGGTTTAGGGTTTAGGGTTTAGGGTTTAGGGTTTAGGGTTTAGGGTTTAGGGTTTAGGGTTTAGGGTTTAGGGTTTAGGGTTTAGGGTTTAGGGTTTAGGGTTTAGGGTTTAGGGGTTAGGGGTTAGGGGTTAGGGGTTAGGGTTTAGGGTTTAGGGTTTAGGGTTTAGGGTTGAAGACCGAGGCTCCTTGATGATGGGAGCTCAGCTATAACAGCAGAAAGAAACGTTTTGCTCTTAGATTGCTTAGGAGCCCTGCGTAGAGAGAAGCACTAGTCAAAGGGCAACAGAAGAGACTCACATAAGGACGGGGGACATGCGCCCACGCGAAGATGAGTAGAAACTAAGCGCCGCGGGGGCGTCGGTTTGCGCGATGTGTGCGGCTTTGCGGGTTAAACGCCTCAACTCCAAACCCGAAGCCGGAGACTGGCAGCAAGGGCCCGGGCTTCCTTCGCGTAGTGCTTGCAGGACTCATTCTCATTCCCGACGATCTTCAGGAAGGTGGTCTCTTTGTAGACTTTTGCGTACTTCTCATATCTCGGCGCGAAAGCCTTCCAAGGCACTTGGAGTTCAAGGCTTGGGCGTCCCTTTCCCTTTGTCAAGGTTGGCTCCATGGAAATTGGACCCCTAATACGATTTAAGGTATATTCCCGAATTAAGAGGTTTTGGAGCCTCTGGGGGGTTTAGGGTTTAGGGTTTAGGGTTTAGGGTTTAGGGTTTAGGGTTTAGGGTTTAGGGTTTAGGGTTTAGGGTTTAGGGTTTAGGGTTTAGGGTTATACTTGGGCAAAAGCCCTAAAGAATCCCAGGTGCGGCGCTATGACCCTCCATACCCCCCGAACCCTAAAACCCTAAACCCTATGACCCTATGACCCTAAGACCCTAAGACCCCAAGACCCCAAGACCCTAAGACCCTAAGACCCCAAGACCCTAACCACCCCCCCCCCTCCCTAACCCTTTTAGCGCCTTGCAGGGCTTGCACCACGTGAAGGCCAACTTGACGACCTCTGCTCCCATATTTGGGGGTTTACGAAAATAAGGGTTTAGGGTTCAGGGTTTAGGGAAATCAAATAGTACGATTCCCTCATATGAAGGACCCCCAGAAGGTACCCTTGTTCTCGGAAACCCCGTTTGTTTTCCGGGGGGAAGGAGGGGGGAAGGGGGGGGAGGCTTGTATGGCTTCCAGGGTTGCTGGGGTTTCTAGGCTTTGCAGTATTACAGGCTTCATTGGGTGTATGGAGTATATGGGGTTTAGAGGCTCACAGCGTTTGACTCCATGAACCATCCTTCCCAAGCTCTGAACCCTAAACCCTAAAGCCCAAACCCTGAACCCCAAACCCTAAACCCTAACCCCTAAACCCTAAACCCTTATATATATATATTCTTCCTTATTAAGGGTAATATAGGGGAGATTAGTTTGTTATTCTTTTGGGGGTTCCTAGGCAAATAGCAGGGTTCGGACCCTGGATGCCTCATCTTGAGGTTCAGGGTCTCTGGGTTTAGGGTTTTAGGGTTAGGGGCTTAGGGTTTAGGGTATGGGGTTCTTGAGTTTAGGGTTAGGGCTTTAGGGGATAGGGGTTTAGGGTATAGATGTAGGGTTTTATGGGTTGGGGTTTAGGGGCTTTTGGCGAGCTTAAGCGGTTGACTTGCAAAGGTTGGGCTTTCAACTCGGCCCAAGCGAATAGGGAACCAGGCGAGTCGTTCGAGATCCCAAAGAGCCCAAAACCCCTTAATTCAGGAATATACCTTAAGCCGTGTTAAGGATCCCTATCTAGTTTGTGGCATATTCCTGAGATTAAGGGGTATATTAAGGCTCTCTGGGATGGATGCAGAAAGTCTGGGAATGCGACGACGTCGTTTCCTGAGGCGACGATGGCATCCAGCTCCGCCTCGCTATGGACCTGTGCTGTCTCGTCGGTTTGGGGAAATTTGGGGGTTCAGGGTTTAGGGTTTTGGGTTTAGGGCTCCCCCCCCGCCACCCCCCCCCCCGATATACTAACAGCTCCTTAATTGGGATGATAGTACCCCCGATTACAATCCCTATTAAGGGCCTTTAGTACACCGGGGAGCATCCCTCCTTGCTGCTGCTGCTGCTGCTGCTGCTGCTGCTGCTGCTGCTGCTGCTGCTGCTGCTGCTGCTGCTGCTGCTGCTGCTGCTGCTGCTGCTGCTGCTGCTGTTGCTGCTCTTAGCTGCTGTTGTTGCTCTTAGCTGCTGTTGTTGCTCTTAGCTGCTGTTGTTGCTCTTAGCTGCTGTTGTTGCTCTTAGCTGCTGTTGCTGCTGTTGGTGCTGTTGTTGCTGTTGTTGCTGTTGCTGGTGCTGGTGCTGTTGGTGTTGCTGGTAGTGGCGGTGGTGGTGGTGTGTTGGTGGTGTTGTAGCGTTGTCGTGGTGGTTGTTGTTGACCTCACACCCCCCTTCCCGACGAAAAAGCTGCACCCTACACCTCTCACCCTGCATCTTCCGCGGCCGGCCGCGGGCGACAGCGGTTAGACTCTTCTACTAATTGCTTAAGAAACCCCAAAAAACAAAAAATCATTCTTCCTTATTAAGGGCAATATAGGGATTTGTTTCTGCTTATTTCTGTTGGGGTTCTTAAGCAAATGGTAGCATAGTGACGTGGATTATGCCCCTGTAGGGCCCACATCCTGAAGCCTGAGCCCTTCAATGGGAGGAGGCACCTCCGTAATGTGGCCCAGCATTCCAGCCACGGCCTCATCTGTGGCCTAGGTGATTGCATGAGCAAGATCGCTTCGGGCGTGAACAAACCCGCCTTTAAAACAGGCGCGTCTTGAGGGATTCAGGGCGCGCGATGCGGAGTCACAGTGATGCGAAGTCACCAGTTTCGTGCTGTGGTCAGGGGCGCTGGCAGGAACTCTCTTTGGAGTTGTTTCCAAGTATCGAACGACCTGTCACCAGGGGAAGGGGGTCCTAGATCCCAAAAACGCAGGAACCCGACGGGTGCGAACCAAACTATGGGCTCCTTCTAGGATTCAGGCTGTCTTATAGTGCTCCTTTTTGTTCAGGGTAGAGTCCCACAGGAGCCGCTGGTTGAGATCAAGCCCCACATGCCTAAACCCTAAACCCTAAACTCTAAACCCTGAACCCTACACCCCACCTCGGCTAAGTCTAAGTGAGTGCGGGCAAGGCCAAGAAAGTCCGCAAAATCGATGCCATCATGACCTGGGCATCGGGCAGGTGCAGGAGTCGGGTGCCCTAAAAACCTTTTCCTAAGGGTTCAGGGTTTTAGGGTTTAGGGTTTAGGGTTCAGGGTTCAGGGTTCAGTAGGGTTTAGGGTTTAGGGTTCAGGGTTCAGTAGGGTTCAGGGTTCAGTAGGGTTTAGGGTTAAGGGTTAAGGGTTTAGGGTTTAGGGCTTAGGGTCTCCAAACACCGAAACCCTGAACCCCCTAAAACCCTTGAACCTCTAAAAAGCCCTGAGCCCCTAAAAGTCCAGACGGCCTCCAAGAAAAACCGTGATCCCTACTGGGAGGCTCAAGGTAGGTATAAGTCGGGATAAGTAAGGTAACTATAGTAATACAACTGCTCATAGCCTTCTGTAGGGTACTTATAGCCCTACTTGCAACTACCCATAAACCTTCAAGTATTCCTAAACCCAAAACCCTAAAAGCGCAGATTTGCCTCCACCCTAAACCCTAAACCCTAAACCCTAAAACCACCTCTGAAGCAATTCAAGGCATCCTTGCTCCAGGGCTGCCACCGACATCGGCTTCATCTACGATCTGATCAAGCTCCTGTGTTTTAGGGTTTAGGGTTTCGGGTTTAGGGTTTAGGGCTTCGGGTTTGGGTTTGGGGTTTAGGGTTTAGGGTTTGGGGTTGAGGGGTTAGGGTTTAGGGTTTTAGGGTTTAGGGTCAGGGTTTCCCGTGTAGGCACAGCTGGGGTCTGATGACTAGGAGGTCCAGGCACCGGAAGAAAGTTGCTGAAGCTACCTCCCTACAATTGCACGCCGGCCCCTGAACGTACTCCTTAGTGAGGTTTAGGGCTTAGGGCTTAGGGCTCAGGGCTTAGGGTATTTAAAGCCCACAAGCATGAAAACGGCTTCCTGGCCACCAAAAGGGCAAGGGAGAACACCACAAGCCTACGCCCTCTCTGTACCACCCTTGCGACGCAGCTCTGAACCCTAACCCACACGCCCCCGCCGCTCGAAAACAAAATGCCAAAAACGAATCCCAAACCAAAAGCCCCAAGCCCTGCCAACCCCATACGCCAAACCCGAAACCCTTGCCCATAGACTTTGTGTTTAGGCGAAAACCTAAGGCAAAACCTAAACCCTGGACCCTGGACCCTAGACCCCAAACCCGAAACCCTAGACCCTAAACCCTAAACCCTCGACCGCCAGGGAAAAAAAAGGGAACGTGGAGGCGCTGGGCCTGGGCGGACAACTTCTTCCCCAGGCCGGCGAAAAGCTGCGCAGTGGGCGTTTTGGGGGTTTAGGGTTTAGGGTTGAGGGTTGAGGGTTTAGGGTTGGACTTCAGGGTTTTAGGGTCGAAGGTTTGATGGCTTAGTGGCTACGAGGAGTGAGGACTCGGGGTGTCAGGTCTGCCAGAGGCAACTTTGGGCTTGGGGGTTCAGGGCGCGGATCTTTTGCCAATGCTAGACTCAAGAGTAGCCTAGGAAGGAAAGGGTGCCCTGTTTTGGTTTCAAGGGGACCGCAAAACCCTAAACCCAAAACCCAAAACCCTAAACCCTAAACAACGGGAATAAGGGCCTACTCTGGGGCCTAGAAAGTCATCAGCAGGCATCAGCTCCTCGCGGAGGATCTGCTTTCAAGAGAAGTACACCATGAAGTGGGCCAAGGTACAGGGTTTAGGGTTTAGGGTTTAGGGTTTAGGGTTCGGGGCTCAGGCTTTTTGGGGTTAATGTGGCCGCGCAATCCAATGCGGAGGCGCAAGCAAAGGAATACTTGCACAAGATGCTTGTGCCGGACAGCAGACCAGCCAGTAGACAGCAGCCCCTTATTAAGACCTGCTAGTGAAGCCACAAACGGCACAGGAATAACAACTGCTCTGCGATAATCCCTTGACCGACTTGTCGCATGAGGATTGTATATTTCCCGTTTAACGGACATTCAAATCCAAACCTCAACCGTAAACGAGAACCTCCAACCAAAACCCTCCCCTCTCAACCCCCCCCCCCAAAAAAAAAAAAAAAAAAACGAAACCCTCAACCCGAAAACCTAAACCCGAAACCTGCGATTTAGGGTTTAGGGTTTTGGGTTTAGGGTTTGGGGTTTCGGGTTTCGGGTTTCGGGTTTAGGGTTGAGGGCCTAAGAGCCCCTCTTGCCTGGCCCAAGGACGCCCGGGAGATGACGCCATTGCCCTCATCTACGCCGCTGAAAGCTTGCTCGTACTCCTGGGGTTTTAGGTTTAGGGTTTAGGGTTTAGGGTTTTAGGTTGAGGGTTTAGGGTGTAGGGTCCTGGGGTTTTGGGTCTAGGGTTTAGGTAATCGAAGGGTGGATACACGGCCCCTTCATATGGGCCCTCTGCTGGGCCCCCTAAAAACCTTACCCTAAACCCTAAACCCTAAACCCTACACCCTAAAAAACCCACGGGCCCAGACTTTCAGAAGCCTTTTACAGAAGGTAAGGGACCAGCTTCAGAATCCCCCCAAAAAATGAAATATTCTTCCGTATAAGGGTATAGGGACTACTTTTTTTGTTTTTTTTTTTTTGTGGGGGGGGGGGGGTTTAGGGTTTAGGGTTTTAGGTGTCAGGGTTTAGGGGGTCTAGGGTCTAGGGTAGGGTTTAGGGTTTAGGGTTTAGGGTTTGGGGGTTTAGGGTTTAGGGGGTTTAGGGTTTAGGGTTTTAGGGTTTAGGGTTTAGGGGGGGGGGGGGGGGTTCTTAAGCAACTAGTACTAGGGTTTCAGGTCTTGGCACCAAAGCTCGTTTGATGTGGCCCTCTTTGGTTGGATGTCGGGGGGGGTAGCTTCTATTCTACCCTATTAGGGTTTAGGGCTTAGGGTTTAGGGTTTAGGGGCAAAGAACTATATCTTATGTAAGGAGAATAAGGGGAGAAGATTGGTAGTTCCTAAAGTAATGGCTTCTGTATCCGGCTGCATTTTTCAGCCGGGCTCCGAAGTTGGCAGGAAGATTAAGGAGGCTTATCTTCAACATGTTTGAACCCGTGACCTCTAAGCCCCTAAACCCCTGAAACCCTAAACCCCAAGCCCCTACAACCCTAATCCCCAAAGGCCCGAACTATACTCCCCTAGAACCTTTGTAAGTAAAACACATATTTTCAACAATCCCGTGGGTTTTACCTAAATAAGAATACAGAATAATTCCTAGGGGTTGGGATGTTCCCCCTTATACTAGCAGTCCTTAATAGGGATGATAGTACCCCCTACTAGAATCCCTATTAAAGACTGCTGGTACAAGGGGGAACATCCCTAAACCGCAAACCCTAAACCCTAAGCCCTAAACCCTAAACCCTAAACCCTAGACCCGAAACTGGGGGGCTACAGCGAAGCCTTGCCCCCTTGAGCGCTTCCCGCACATCGCACCTCGAGCTTGCCCTCCAGCAGTAGGCCATCATGGGCCTCAGCTTTTGAAGGTTTTCAGGGTCTAGGGTTTAGGGTCAAGCCCTTATCATGGGCCTGAGCTTTTGAAGGTTTTCAGGGTCTTCCGGATAGCCTTAAGGTGCTTCAGGGCTTCCTAGGCTCCCGCGATTATTTTCGAACTGAGCCGTATGGCCTTTACTCTAGGTTTGAGGGGCTGAAAGTTGTTCGGGGGTTGAGGGCATTTTCAGCTGCTTAGCACTTTTGGGGTTGTTTAGGGAGTTCAGGGTCAGGTCAGGGTTTTGTTTTCTTGTTCTTGGGATTTGGGGGGGTGGGGGTGGGCTTCAGGGCAAGCCGTGCACTGCACGTACACATCCGACAAAAACAATGTCGCACATGTGCCGAATCCGTTCGGTGGATGTGCAACGCGCCTCGATGTAAATAGGGCATATGTGCCGAATATTTCACACATCTGAGACAGTCAAATCAAGGTGGTTTGACCAGGTGCTCACTTGCAAGCAGTGCTGAAGACGTGTTTGGTATGGTGACGACTATAAACTGCCTTTGCAAATAAACTTCCATTCACATGCATCCTTAACAGCCTTAACAATTGTGTCAATCTGCATGGACCAAGGCATGGGGCAAAGCATGGCATGCATGGCACGGAGGTCACACACACATGCCATCGTTTGAAAAAAGTTCGTTTAAATGTGCGCACGGTACCGCAACGTACTGAACAGAGACTTAGGACATACTTCAGAGAGAGAGAAAGAGCGAAAACAAATCGAGCGATTTCCATCGGATCTGAGTCGGGCGAGTCCCTGAGTTTTCAGCCAGCAGTTGCACGCCAGGGCGTTAGCATGCAGTCCAAGTCCAACCACTCTATTTCTTCAAATGCATGTTTCTTGTCCACCTTACATGCACATGAATCTGCAGATGGGATGAATCAGCGGTTCTGTGAGTTGTATCATATCAAAAGGTGTTGGTCTTGTTGTGAGTAGATACATCACCGACTAGAAGCACTTTCTGGGGTTTATGAACAGTATATACACTATGTACAGATTGTAGGGTCTGCTGCTTGTCTCGTTTTGGCCCCGAAGGGAACTGATATCATATACACTAGACGGTGGATGCAAACCGCACAGTAGATACACATAAAAATAAAGGAAACGGATAGTACAGAACAGAAACAGTGTACAGTGGATACAGTCAGGGTATAAAAGTAGTGGCGACCGACGAGACAGCAGATACATATGAGACAGGAGATACAAGCAGGCTACAAAAGTAGTGACAAGAGAGGATACAGTAGATGCAAAACTAGACAAGAGATGCAAGCGAGGCACAAAAGCAGTGACAAGAGATGAGACAGCAGATGCAGATAACACAAGAGATACAAGCGGGGCACAAAAGCAGTGGCGACAGAATAAAATGAACAGAATGAAATGATTGTTCAGGGGGCTTGGGGTGCTTTTGATGCTTTTGGGAGCTTATGGATGCTGTTTTCTCAGGCTGGAGGGCGAAGAGCTTCAGCACCCCTATACCCCACTTCCGGCCCTGAACCCTAACCCTTAACCCTTAACCTTGCCCATGAACCTTCCAGGGACTTTTGTTTAGGAATGTCGGGTCCCAGAACCCGGGCAAAATGCGAACAGACCCCAACAAAGCTCAACTCGAAACCAGAACCCACGTAGAAAAGAAAGAGCCTCCACCCAATAGTACATAAAACTACTCTTGCTTATACCTGCAATATCGGGATTGTTTTCTGTTATTTCTTGGGGGTTCTTAAGCAGATCGTAATGCGCAATGGCCACCCTAAGCCTCCTTAGGGTTTAGGGTTTAGGGTTTAGGGTTTAGGGTTAGGGTTTAGGGTTTAGGGTTTAGGGTTTAGGGTTTAGGGTTTAGGGTTTAGGGTTTAGGGTTTAGGGTTTAGGGTTTAGGGTTTAGGGTTTACCCACGCACCCGACTCAGACCCAGGCCAGGCGCCCAAATTCCCTAATTCCAAGGCCGTCCTGGCTCAGCATGTTAAGGGTTAAGGGTTAAGGGCTTAGGGTTAAGGGTTCAGGGTTTAGGGTTTAGGGTTAAGGGGAAAGGTTTAACCCGAAACCCCCAAAAACAAGTCCTGAACCTGGAAATTCGCCTCTTAAACAACCCTGTCCTGAACCCCTAAGTCACCCCCCCGAACCACACTTGAACCCGAAGCCTCTTATGCGCGCAGACCTCGCGCCGAGGCGTCTAAGTAGCACCCGGTTTAGGGTTTCGGGCTTAGGATTTACGGTTTAGGGGCCTCTATTCCTCTCCCCCCCCCCCAACCACGGCAACACTAAACCGAAAACCCCTCGCGATTGCATGGCCTCGGGTTTGGGGTCGATAACCCGGGGGAATACCACCTCAGGGGGTTTGTGTTTCCAACACAACCCTGCCTAAAACTCAAGACCTTGGGAAACTTGAAAACCCTAGACAGTCTTGGACACGAGGTGCGAAAAGAACACACCTTTGGGAGTTTCCGAAAGGTCATGTACCCTCAAACATGGCAGAATCTCCTCTTCACGGGGCCTAAGGATCCAAAAATGCCACAGCTCAGCTCGAAGGAGGCCTTTACAATTCGACCCATACCCCCCTTTTTAAAGAGCCCCAAACCGAGGCCAGTTGCCGAGGTCCTCTGCGGCATACTGCTTCCAGATCTTGTCCTAGATTCGCACTTCAAAACTTCCCTAAACCCTAAACCCTAAACCCCAAACCCTAAACCCTAAACCCTAAACCCCCGTGAAAAGAATGCACACAACAAAGGAAAAATCTGCAAGTCTCCCAGAAACCAAGTGTCCAAGGTGGACTCTGCAAGCCAGTGCTTGGTCAAACAAAAACTTTCCGTGCACTCCAGCAGGCTGCGTAGTGACCTCTGCCGTCTGCCCAGAAAGGTTTAGGATTTAGGGTTTAGGGTTTAGGGCTTAGGGCTTAGGGTTTAGGGTTCAGGGTTCAGGGTTTAGGGTTTAGGGTTCAGGGTTTAGGGTTCAGGGCTTAGGGTGTAGGGTTCAGGGTTTAGGGTTCAGGGTTTAGGGTTCAGGGTTTAGGGTTTAGGGCCTAAACTAGAGAGCAGCACTGCATACGAACAACACATACATCAGTATAGGCATGTCATTTACAAATATACATATGTGCATGTACATAATTAAATTATACGTATACACATATTTGTATACCATCGTGCTTGAGGATGTCTGCTTATCGCACTACCCTAGGCCTCTTGGGCCTTCAAAACCCAGGGAATTGAGACCAATGAGTCCGGGCTCCGTGGAGCCTTGGGGTAGATGGCGGTGGCAGCGTGGCGTTAAGTTGCGGCAGGTCATCCAACATTCTATCCAACAGAAGACACCCTAAGCCGTGAAACCCAGAAGCCTAGAGTAAAATGCAATGTATGTATATATATATATATATATATATATTTATTTATGTATATTTATATATATATATATATATATTTATTTATTTATTTATTTATATTTACTATTCATAGGGTGCCTCTCGTAACGTAGCTTCCTTGGAGACCAGACCCTACCGCAAAGCCTTATTCAATATACTCGCCAGGCCTCCTAAAGCCCCTTATGCCCTGCCTCGCCTTTCAACCCATTTTCGGGTTTAGGGTTCAGGGTTACTGGGGCCCAAAAGTCCTTTAGGGTTTAGGGTTTCAGGGTTCAGGGTTCAGGGTTCAGGGTTTAGGGTTTAGGGTTTAGGGTTTGGGTTCTAAAACCGAAAGCCTATTCCGTACACCACCTAAACCCTTACACTCCACAAACCCCGAGCATCCCCAACCCATACTAAACCTCACAACCCCAAACGCCGAACCCAAAACCCAAAACCCCTCGAAGCCAAAGAACAAACAAAAAACGCCAAGCTCTGGGCTCGCGAGGTAGCCGGGCATCATCCCCTTCTCCGTCAGCATATGACAGAAAGCGTGCTCTGCCTTTGAGTGTTTGTGGCTGAGGGTTTTAAGGTTAAGGGTTTATAGGGGCTTAAAAGGGTGGTTTAAGGGCTTGAGGGACAAGGGCTACAGGGTTTCGGAATTCCAGTGGGGTTTTGGGGATGCGGCTGTTTAAGGCTTGCGTACTTGCAGAACGGGCCCTGAGTCCTACGGGGTGTCGGGTGACGAGGGACGGACTCGCGCTCTCTCCTTCAGACTTAGACCCAGAGAGCCTAATCAAGGAATGTACCTTAAATTGTACAGGGATCCTTATTATGATTTAAGGAATACTCTTTATTAACGGGTATTGGAAATTTTTGGGGAGCTTCCCTGAACCATGCCTTGGCAAAATGTGAAGACCTTTTGAGGACATACGACAAGCGAGCCGCAACTAACCCCTAAGCCCGGTTTGGAGATTCGACAGCTTGGGGACGGGTTTAAGCTACGCGTCATTTTTAAACCTTATCCAGTTTAAAGCATCTCCCAACAGGAGGTCTCATGCAGACGGCCTGTGGCCTCAACAGTGGGTGAGATTCAAGTACCCTCGGAAAAGGGCACTCTGTTTGTACAAGGTTTCGGGTTTAGGGTGTAGGGTTTAGGGCTTGGGACGAAGACTTGGACTCTAAACCCTATCGGCCCTCTGGATCGTCCATCTCAGATGCAGGCCCTTCTCGTCAACCTCCTGACTACCCGAGCGCGCGCGTGTGCTCTGAGCTGAGGAACTCGACTAAGTAGGGTTAGAAGTCGGGTAATTATGCATATAACCTTACTTGGGGCACTTAGAACCCTACTTCTAACCACGCATGAACCTCTAAGTACTTATACATTCTTGACGGTTCAACTAGCTGGCCTACTGCGCTTTGAGACAAGCATGCATGCACTCCACGACCCTACACATGTCTTCCAACTATGCCAGTCCCAACCGAATGTGTGGCAGGGGCTTACTCTGCACTGAGATGGGTCAGACATCTAGTGCAACTGTGGGCTTGAAGTGCAGTGCTGGTTTAGGGTTTAGGGTTTAGGGTTTAGGGTTTAGGGTTTAGGGTTTAGGGTTTAGGGCTCGGGCTTGAGGTAAGCCTTGGGGGCTTCGACACTTGGATTGAGGTTCGGGGAGGCCGGTCCTCGTCCTCAGTTCCCCACGGGAAAAGTGACCACCCGTTCAAGGCAGTTCTACCTGCGAAAGATCACAGGTGACGGTAAGAGAAGAGCCAACCGTGCCCACCGCAGATTCCGCGCCTGGCACTGGTCGCCGCAGCGCTCGTGGCACACCTGGCGCCACGAAGGTGTCGGCGACCTGCCAAAGCAGTTTAGGGTTTAGCGTGTATAGGGTTTAGGGTTTAGGGTTCAGGGTTTAGGTTCTATAGAATAGGGGGGTCGGAATAATTCCTAATCATATTCCCTAATGGTCCCTGTATGAATAGGCTATAATAACCCCCAAAACCATGTTCCAACTATTAAGGCACTTTAAACCCTCCCGAACCCTCAAGCCCTAAACCCTGAACATCCCTAAACCCCAAACCGCTGAACACTAAATCCTAAACCGGCTGAGGGTTCCGGGTCTAGGGGTGGGTTCAGGGGTGTCCAAACAATTGCTGAAGTCTCAGGAATTTGCCTTTCACATTCTGCCCCGAATTGGAGAAGAAAGTTTAGGCTTTAGGGTTTAGGGTTTAGGGTTTAGGGTTGCAATGTTCCCCCTAAACCCCATCTTGCTAGGGCTCTGAATCCTTCCAAGACATGAGGGCAGCCACCCCCAGAATCCTTTACTACTAATTGTTTGAGAACCCGCCCGCCCCCCCCCCCCCCCCCAAATAAAATGAAAAAAACAATAATGATAAAGAACTAAATAAAAATGAATAAATAAATAAATAATAAATATAAATATACAGATACATATAATATATCTATATATATATATGTATGTATTCCTCCTTCTTAAGGGTAGTATGGGGATTATTATCTTTTATTCTTTCGGGGCTCTTAAGCAAACAATAGTTTAAAACCATCCCTGAGGCCATGAACCACAAAAATGTAGGGATTCCCTCAAAGCCCCATAGGCCCTAAGCCCGTAAACCCCTCCTTTCGAAGCCCCCCCCCCCACCCCCCGACACCTCTAAGCATCTAAACCTGAAGCTTCAACTGCAGTCGAGGCTGCTTCTCCGAGAACGCGCACGGGACGCGTGGGACTTAAGGGAGTGCTGAAGGTGAAGAATTATAGGGTTCTTAAGGGAGGGGGGTTCAAGGGGGGTAGGTTCCTAGGGAACCTTTTAGGAAGCTTAGGGAGCCCTTAGGGAGTGTGAGGGAGCCTTGGGTTACTTGGGTTACATACCACCCTTGAACCCCCCTCCCTTAAGAACCATAGAAGGCAGGCTTGGGACCGCTAAAATAGACCCCGAAATGGTAGGATCCCCTTATAATAAGGACCCCAATAAGGTACCCCCCCCCCCCCCCCCCCCGCAATATCGTAAACCCCCAGACTGCAGCCCCGGGAATCTGACCAGCACGGGCGCCAGTGCGGCAGCAAGAACAGCGCATCTTCGCCGTCTGATCCGGCCTGGGCTCTCGCTCTCTCGCTTCTTTCTTTCCTTCTTTCTTGCTGTGTTCCTTCATTTCTTCCTTTCTTCCTTCCTTCCTTTCTTCCTTCCTTCCTTTCTTTGGGGCATAGGGGCCAGCCCCCGCGCAGTCCGCTCGCCCCCCGATTTCGCCTCCTTTCGCGCTCGCTCATGTCAAGAAAAATACTCAGGCCCCTGACGCGGACCTCTAACAACCATCTACCTCCACTAAATCGTTCGTGGGCAGTTTTAAGGTAGAGCCAGATCTACCAACCTCCCGTCACCCTACACCGCTATCCGCACCTACGAGCCTACACGAAACTGCAAACATCTATTTTCATGTTCCTAGATGCCCGAATATAGGGGCCGTAACAAGTACATGGTTTGTTGGGTTTCTTACAACACAACTATATATAAAACTATACAGGGACCATGAGGGAATAATACTGGTAATTCTTCCGACCCCTACAGTATGTAACTGAAACAAAGGCCTCGAGCCCCCCCCCCCCCCCCCCCGGATTCCCAAGGCCCTGGCTTCCGGGCGGCTGTGAAGAACTGGACCCAGCCATTCTAAAATCCATAAAACTATTGAAGCAAAGCTTTGCGGAGGGGTCGCAAAAAAGCGTCCAGCTGTCCGCTCGCCTTGCAACGCACAGCAGGAGAAGGGCGTGCATGTCTTGCAAGCTCCCATTCTTTTCATGGCTGCTGGCATCCATAGAGCCACCCTCGTGACGAGGGCCCCGCAAGAAGCTCCGCATTGCAACGGGGATGGGTGCATCCTTTGGACGACCTCCCGACGCAACATGCCCAGGTGAGTGATGACAGCACACATGCAGCCCGGAATGGTTTCCGAGGCAGCTCAACCATCGACAGGCCCACGTTTCCTGGCCCCCGAAGATACGAAGTCTCGGTCGGCGGCCGACCTCCTGAAGCGCCCCCCGTCCATATCCTGAACCTTAAGTCCTACATTCTAGACCCTAAAACGAGACCCCAAGCCCTAAATCTTCAATCCTGCGCTGGACCCCAGGCCTATGCCCCCAGATCACCTCTACCCTGAACCCTCACAATGCCTCGGAACCTGCAGCAGGTCCACAACCAGGTGTTTCTTTGCAACTTTCGAACCTTTAAAAGCTCCGTAGCGCCGCGGCTTAGGTTTGTAGGACCGACATGTTAAGAATGGGCTTCTGGATGGATTCGGCTTGACAAAGTCCATGCTGGAGAGTGGCGTTTCAAGAACCCCCGCCCCCACCCCCCAACTCCCGAAATTCCATGAGCCCATGAGCCTTAAGCCCTAAACCCTAAACCGTAAACTCCCTAAACCCTAAACTCCCTAAACCCTAAACCCTAAACCCTAAACCCTAAACCCTAAACCCTAAACCCTAAACCCTAAACCCTAAACCCTAAACCCTACACCGCCCCCTAATCAACTCTTCAACCCCCTAGGGCGGCTCAGGGAGTCCGCCCTGCTCAGATGCGACGAAGAGGGTGGCGCTGGGCGCCAGCCCTGCATCCTGGCCAGGATTCTGAGGTTTAGGGTTTAGGGTTTAGGTTTTAGGGTTTAGGGTTTAGGGTTTAAGGTTTAGGGTTTAGGGCTTAGGGTTTAGGGTTTGGGGTGCTGGGGTGCTGGGGGTGGTGGGGGTGGTGGTGGGGGCTGGTGGGGGGGTGGTAGGAGGCCCTTAGGAGGGCTTGGGGTTTGGGGTTCAAGGCCTGTCAAGCCTTTTTGGGGTACCCTAAACGGGTTAGGGTTTAGGGTTTAGGGTTTAGGGTTTAGGCTTTGGGGTTTAGGGTTTAGGGTTTGGGGTTTTGGGGTTTTAGGGTTTTGGGGCTTAGGGTTTCGGAGTATAGTCGTTCGGGCTGTTGGAGTCTGTCCAGAGTTGACTCATCCTTGGGTTTAGGGTTTAGGGTTTAGGGTTTAGGGTTTAGGGTTTAGGGTTTACTTAAACCAGTGTGCACGAAGTTGCTCTGTGGGGCATGCCGATCCCAAAAGACAAAGAACAATGGCAACAATGGCTTAGCGTTAGCACCCTACAACAGGTGCTTCACAACAGTGGCAGAGGCATGCTCGACAGGAACGACACAAGCTGCACCGCCACCAGGAAGGATCGCTTCGACCCAACAAGCATTGCACAAGTACAGCCGGCACACCCCGTGCGGCCATCAAAGCGGTTCCTCCACAATTCCCAGGCAACTGCATTGCAAGCGAGACAGGCCCGCGGATATTGTTTGATCCGGATCGGCATACGTTCGAGGAGGGAACGCAGTCCTACTAGCAAGCATCCGTGGCGTCAGTTGGGCTCTTTGTCAGGCGTCCGGCCCCAAAATCCCCTAAACCCTAAACATCTCGAAGGTTCAGTCTCTTCAACCTGAAGATACTTGGGGCCGCGCTATTCCGGGCTACCGTTCATGAATGTCTCTACACATCGACAGGCAGGCATGCAGGGACAAGTCTACCGGCTCCTGAGATGACAACCTCTCAAGCCAGAGAGACTCTGATCCGTGCACCATTGGTCGACAGCGTCCTGCAGGCCACCAAGGACCCCAATTACCCAATTACACTAAACCCTAAACCCTAACCTCATAGAGGGATGCAGAACACCTCTGTCAACTGCTGCTCTAGGGTCGCACATGGGGGTTTCCGAAAAGGGAGGGGGGGGACCCTTTTTATAGGGGTTCCTGTAAGTCTATTTGGGGTATCACAAGGGGTACCCCGATTGTTTGGGGAAATACCCCCACATGGGCTATGTGTTGCCGGTTCTCCGAACGACTCCTCAAGGTCACGGAGAGTGTGCTGCAGCTCCACGCAGAAGACCTTGAGCAATTTCAAGGCTCCTTTGAGCTTTTGGGGCCCTACGCCTCCAACCTTGGGATTTTGATTTCGGGTTTAGGGTTTAGGGCTTGGGGTTTGGGGTTTGGGGTCCTATAATCCCTATAATCCCTATGAAGGACTGTTAGTATAAGGGGGGAACACCCAACTTCAACCCCATCAGAAACGCGCAGGGCCCAGCGAACCCTTCTATCCTCAAGCTGCCAGTAGAACTTCGGACCCAAGCATCCCCACTTAGGGTTTAGGGTTTAGGGTTTAGGGTTTAGGGTTTAGGGTTTAGGGCTTAGAGGTCCATGTACCTCGTTATTGTATACTTGGGCCCAAAAGTCCCTATATAGGAGGTCCTTAAAGGCCCAAGTCCTCCCTATTTAGGTACCTGGACCCTTAGGGATTGTCCCAAGCAAGATCAAGCAAGGGCTCCCCAACAAAAGAAAAAGACTTGCAGTAAAACTTTAGGGCTTATAAACCCCAAGCCCTGAACCCTAAACGGGTTCAAAAAGGGGTTCCTTAGGTTTGCTTGTACTTGTTTACTTGGTACTTGGGCAGCTAAGAAGCGACGCGGAGGCCCTGGTCCAGGCGTACCTGACAGTCAGGGGCCGGGTGTAGTGTTCAGGGTTTAGGGTTTAGGGTTTAGGGTTTAGGGCTTAGGGTTTAGGGTTTAGGGTTTGAGATTAAGGCTTAGGGTTTGCGGTTTAGGGCTTCGGGTTTGGGGCTTGGGGTTATATCCTCTTTATTGCGCATGCACACAGGGAACGGCGTCCAGCATTGGAATGTTGAACTGCCACACTCAATGTTGGAGTTCAACGTTGGGCCGGATCCAAGAATCAAGATTCAACATGCCGGTTTTAGGGTTTAGGGTTTAGGATTTAGGGTTTAGGGTCTAGGGCTTCTCGGGGGATTCTTGACCCTTGAATCTTGGATCCGGCAACAACGTTGAACTTCCACATGCAACGTTGAACTTCAACATTCCAATGTTGAACTTATAGCTTGGGATGTTCCCACTTATACTAACAGTTTAGGGTTTAGGTTTAGGGTTTAGGGTTTAGGGCTTAGGGTTTAGGGTTTAGGGTTTAGGGTTTAGGATTTAGGGGTTCTTAGCAGTCCTGTGATAGGGGGTACTATCATCCTTGTTAAGGGCTGCTAGTATAAGGGGAAAAATCCCAACTTCTAGCTTATTTTTCTCATGCTGGTGGATGCTGTAGTTCATCATTTCGATGGATCCAAATGTGAAACTTTCGTTTGCTAAGGAACCCACCCTCCAAACCCTGTTACCCACCCAGAGCGGTGGATCAAAGGGGGGGGGAATCATATACCGATACATATATATATATGTATATGATACGTATCGTTTGTGTTTGGGTACCACAGATATGTATATATAGATATATAGACAGTCCTTATTCATACGGGGTCCGGTGACCATAACAACGGGGTGACAACTACAAAGTCGGCCGTGCCCGGAATCCAACATTGTTATTACCCTTATGTCCCGATATGCCATTTTTTTTCAATACCTCAGTCCCGTATATAACCCTTATAAAGCCATAGAAATCTAGTTTTTATTGGGCCCTCAAACCTGCCCCGGTTGAGGGCTTTCGCTGCGCTTTGGTCCTGAAGGCTGAGGATCTTCTCTAATTGCAGACTACCTTCGAACCGCACGGCCTCGGAGCTTCTCTAGGATGGCCCTTGGGGTTTGGGGTTTAGGGGTTTAGGGGTTTAGGGGTTTAGGGGTTTAGGGGTTTAGGGGTTTAGGGGTTTAGGGGTTTAGGGGTTTACGAAGCAGACCGCATTCGCAGATCATCCACAACACTTAGCTTAGGGTTTAGGGTTTAGGGTTTAGGGTCTAGGGTTTAGGGTTTAGGGTTTAGGGTTTAGGGTATAGGGTTTAGGGGTTTAGGGTTTAGGGTTTCATCCAGCCCTCAAAACCCGGAAGAAGGACTATCGGAGGGAGGGGTCTATTCATGCGACCCGAACGTGAAACCCACAAGGCCTTGCCCCTAAACCCCGAACCCTAAACAATCATCCCCCAAAAGCCCCTAAAGCCCCTAAAGCCCCTCAACCCTAAACCCTAAACCCTAAACCCTAAACCCTAAACCCTAAACCCAGCCCCTATAGCCCCTCAACCCCAACTAAGCCCCTTCTAAGCTGCGCCTGCAGTCGGGCGAAGGGCTGCGAAACATCCCGGTCCGAGTCCAGCAGGGAGACCTCTCTTCAGAAGGCACCCCCCCCCTCCCCCTAAACCCTAAACCCTAAACCCTAAACTCTATACCCTAAACCCTAAACCCTAAACCCTAAATCCAGATAGTTCTCCACTGGAATGCCAACCGAGGACCCCTCTCAAGACCCCAGTGACCCCAGATGAGCTCCACGGAGCCCATCACAGTGGGTTTAGGGTTTAGGGTTTAGGGCTTGGGGCTTGGGGTTTAGGGTTTGGGGGTTAGGGTTTAGGGCTTAAAGTTTAGGGTAGTTGCTTAGTTTCAGGGTGACAACCCGACTTTGTGCTACGGCCAGACCCAATGTGTTTTTGCAGGGCAACGCAAATCGAGCCTCGTCAGCAGGTGGCACAGAAGCACCACGCACTGCGGCACACCCTGCATGGGGGGACTTCGGGGCTTCGGGCTTTGTTCAGAAATCTCGAGCAGAACATCCCAAGCAACTGCAAGTATAAAGGTCGGTGAAACGTGCACATCCAGAGCCGTGAGTATGTGACCCGATGTTCTGCAGAGCCTCTGTCAGAGGGCCGCGCCTGCACCACACACGCGCAGCAATGACAGGTCTATGTGTGCAAGGATGGGCTATTACGCCTTATAATCCCCATAATGAACCCTATAAAGGGCCCTTTACGGGATTATAGGGTATACCAGCCCATCCTGGTGTGGACTCATACCACAAAGGTGGCAGCGGCAGAATGCCGCGTATCGCTCGGAGCACAGCATTTCTCCGCGACCCGCACGACTGCGCGTTGATGCCTAAGCCGGACAAACTGTCAAACGCGTCTGCAAAGGCCGACGCATTTGACGCGAGGCTTTCAGAAAGCCTTCGCCGAGCTACTGCCATAAGGCGACAAGGGAGCCACGGCCAGTCAAAAAGGGCTTTGGGGTTCACTACTACTTGCTTAAGAACCCCAAAAAATATGTAAAAATCCCTATGTCGCCCTGACGAAGAATAACATTGGTTTCTTTTTTGGGTGTTCTTAAGCAAATAGTAGTTTATGGGGTTGTGTGTTCGATGAGACCTTGATAGCCCCATGGCTGGCTTGAGCTCAGCACCTCATCGATCTTTGTCCCGACAGCCGCCGGTCTTTAGCTCTGGGCCGAGGGGTTTAGGGTTTAGGGTTTAGGGTTTAGGGTTTAGGGTTTAGGGTTTAGGGTTTAGGATTTAGAACCCTGCAAACTCGTGGAGCCTGCTCTACTTGAAGGTTCATGGGTAGATATAACTAGGGTTGCAAGTACTCTAAAAAAGGTTATAAACAGTTGTTATTACGGTTGCCCTACTTATAACCCACTTATATCTGCGCATGAACCTCCAAGTAGCCATAAACCCTAAACCCTAAACCCTAAGCCCTAAGCCCGAAACCCTAAACCCTAAACCCTAAAGTTAAGCAGCTAGCATGCTCCGGCTCGGCGGCAGTCTTTGCCGCTGAAGACCTGCGTTTCGTCCACGCAGTTGTAGTGGTACGGCCTCAGTGGGTTTAGGGTTTAGGGTTTAGGGTTTAGGGTTTAGGGTTTAGACTTGGAGGTTCATGGGTAGCTACAAGTAGGATTCGATGTGCCCTAAGGAATATAAGTCTAGTTGGCCTACTTCTAACCCTACTTAAATCTAGCCATGAACCTCCAAGCAGGTTAAACCCTAAACCCTAAACCCTAAGAGAGCCGCTGCAACCAAGGCAGAGAACCAGAAGAACAGACGATGAGCTCACTGCGTCGAGCAATACATAGGTCTCTCGTCCTGCCAGCAGAGGTGCTAGGGTTTAGGGTTTAGGGTTTAGGGTTTAGGGTTTAGGGTTTAGGGTTTAGGGTTTAGGGTTTAGGGTTTAGGGTTTAGGGTTTAGGGTTTAGGTGCCACCATGCTTAGTTAGGGTGCCTAGGCCTAGCTAACCTCAGGGCGACCCAATGCCACATCACCGATTGCAGCTGTGAGCACCGTAAGGGCCTCAGGCCCACTTCAACCTCCACCTGAAGCCAAAGAACTCAGAATCCTAACCCTAAACCCTAAATCCTAAACCCTAAAATCCCTAAACCCTGAACCCCTAAAACCCCCTAAAACCAGCCTCCTCCCACTCCGGGACATGACGCAGGCGATGCCGGAAGAACGACATGCCGTACCTGCAACCCCAAACGAAACGCTCATGATGATTAATTACGGTTTAGGGTTTAGGGGTTTAGGGGTTTAGGGGTTTAGGGGTTTAGGGGTTTAGGGGTTTAGGGGTTTAGGGGTTTAGGGGTTTAGGGGTTTAGGGGTTTAGGGGTTTAGAATGTAGGGTTTAGGGTTTAGTAGTATCATCATCATGAGTACTACTAGCTGCTATTGGTAGCATGATTCTTGGTGGTTCTGACGGTTGATTTGGTGAAGCTCCGGAAAATGATGCGGAGTCCGAGCTTAGGGAGGTTAACGCCCGCGCATCTTAGGCGTTCAGCCCCTGCGTACAACAACCCTCAAAAACCTCCACCCCTGCAAACATGGTGAACCATGGTAAGCCCCAAAACCCTGAAGCCCTAAACTGGTCGATGCTGAAATGCAGCAGACCGACAAACCCTTCCAGAACCCCGGCCGCGTACCAGGACGAAAGGTTCAGGTGTGAGTCCTCCATGGCCGGGAACAGCCGGCCTGCCACAGAGGCAGCGTTTTCATTGTAGTGTTGTATGCCTGGTACAGTAACCCAGTAACCACCTTATAGTATAGGTATACGCCTGTTGGCTGGTTCCTTTATAGGGGAACCCAGAACCAAGAATCTAAGAAAGGGTAAAGGGTATCACTGGGCTGCCAAGGTCCTCCCTCAGACATGGTCACCCTAAACCCTAAACGCTAAACCCTGAACCCGATTCCCTAAACATGAGACTTCAAACATCCCAGCCCTCGCCTCCAAAGCTGACAGCATCTGACACTGCAAAGAGGAAGTATAATTATGTGGCGGACGTGCCGTTATTTAGGGTTTATAGGTTTTAGGTTTTCGGGTATTCAGTTTATAGGGTTTAGGTTTTCGGGTAATTAGGGTTTAAAAATTTTTAGGGTTTAGGTTTTCGGGTATTCAGGGTTTAAAGGGCTTAGGTTTTCGGGTATTCAGTTTATGGGGTTTAGGTTTTCGGGTATTTAGGGTTTATAGGGTTTAGGTTTTCGGGTATTCAGTTTATAGGGTCTAGGTTTTCGGGTATTCAGGGTTTAGGGCTAGGGCTTAGGGAGCACTTAGTCGCCACAATGCTCTGGAATTCCTCGCGCGAGACCATTGGCAACTGCACCCACGAACTGGATGGTTGGCCTTCTTGACCACTCCGGAAAGGCTGTGTGAATCCTAAACCCTAAACCCTAAACCCTAAACCCTAAACCAAAAACCAAAAACCAAAAACCAAAAACCAAAAAGCCTAAGACTCCTGATGATGTGCCTTCCACCGGCACCTGCCAGATGCGATCTGGATCCCAGAACTCCTGCACTGCTACAAAATGACGACTCGAAGCCCTTGTAGGCAGGAGGGGGGAACAGCCCTAAAGTAGTATAGGGGCCTCAATAAGTAAGACAGGGTTGTGAGGGGTCATTTTTGTGCAATTATAACGGGACCAGAAGGGAACACTATTGGTATTTATTCCGACCCCTACATTAGGGTCCCCTTCCCCCCCCGTGTACCCTCACAAACTTTAGGGCCTTTTGGAGTTCCTTAATCGAAAGGGACGCTCTCATAAGACCCTGACTCGGAATACCCGGCGATGAGACCGTCAACTGGGGCCCACAAAACCCACAGAAACTCAGGGATCCTACAAACAGGTCTTTTTTTTCGCAATCTCCCCTTATAGTGGCCTTGATACCCCAATAGTAGGATCCGTGTGATTGTGTGGTTTTGGGGGCCCCTACTCTTAGCAGGCAACATGATGTTTGGAACAGGATGTCTCCGTTTCCAAGGGCTCTAGATCACAAAGATTCCAAGCCCATCACCGTGCCGCACCCCCCTCATCTACCATTTGCTTAAGAATCCCCAAAAAACTAAAAATGAGAATCCCTATGTTTCCGTTTTAAGGAGGATTATGTTTTTGGGGGGTTCTTAAGCAATTGGTAGTTATACCGCCGCTTATCCTGCCGTTCACCCCCCTTACAGCCCCCCCGTGCACTTGGAGATTATAACTGTACTTATAACTGTACTCATAACCATATTGGGGCACTGAAGGGGCTTACAAGTGGGTTATAAGTACAGTTACAATTGGTCAATAAGTACCATGAACCTCCAAGTATCCCCCTCATGCCGACGCAAAGGGCTCATCATGCATGCCGTTGGTACCATGTAGAGGTTCACATATGACTCAGGCGCTCAGCAACAGGAACTACAACTTAGGGAGTCTTGGCAGGCCCTATGCCCAAGCCCTAAACCCTAAACCCTACAACCTAAACCCTAAACCCCTGACAAGGGGTCCTCACGCAAGTTGAGCTCGATGAGGAGATAGTTCGCCTCATTGGCCTGCAGAAGCCACGACCTCACGGAGGAGGCACCACCAAAAAGTGGCCGACCCGAAACCCTGGGGTTTAGGGTTTAGGGTTTAGGGTTTAGGGTTTAGGGTTTAGGGTTTAGGGTTTAGGGTTTAGGGTTTAGGGTTTAGGGTTTAGGGTTTAGGGCTGTTAAGGGGAAAAAGGCGGGACCCCTAGAAGGGAGCCTTAATCTAATTCCCCTATAGAACCCCATATTATATATACCTTATAGTAGCTAGATACCTAAGTAGGCCTTAAATCACCCCTAAAGGTCCCTTTTAAGGGTCCAATTAGTCCCCTGATAATCCCTTTGAACCCTAAACTCCATACCCTCTGAAACTCAAATTCCGTAACTCCTAAATCCCCTACACCCTATAGACCCTACAAGCCCTGAACCCTCAAAGCATTCAGGGTTTAGGGTTCAGGGTTTAGGGTTCAGGGTTTCAGGGCTTCGGGTTGAGAGGGTGCGCGGCCTTGGGAAATTGTAATTAGGGTAACTGTGTGCTTAAACCTTGCGGCGCTTAGAACCCTAGTTAGAACTACCCATGGACCCCCAAGTAGCCCTAAACCCTAAACCCTAAACCCTAAACCCTAAACCCTGAACCCTAAACCCTAAACCCTAAACCTAAACCCTAAACCCCAAACCCTCATTCTCATGGGCACCCTGGGACTTTGGGGGCGGTCAAGGTTGCCAAAACCCAACCCAGCACCCGACTTGGGAGCTTCATGGGCAGAATACCTAGGACAAGCCGGGGAATTCTTCTACTGATAATGGCTTAAGGGTTTAGGGTTTAGGGATCTAGTGTCATTTCTGATACTTGCAACCCTAAACCCTTAACCCTAAACCCTAAACCCTATACCCTAAACCCTAAACCCTAAACCCTACACCTTCCAGTAAGCCCAGCATGGAGCAGGCGAGCTGTGCTCAGGGCCTGTTGTTGGCCTCGGATGCTGCAAGCTGGCGTCTACTTTGGAGGCTCATTTGGATAGTGAAAAGGACCCTGTTTAGGGTTTAGGGTTTAGGGTTTAGGGTTTAGGGTTTAGGGTTTGGAGGTTCATTTGGGTAGTTAGAAGCAGGGTTCTAAGTACCCCAAGTAAGGTTATAAGTATAGATACCCTACTTGTAAGGTTATAAGTATAGATACCCTGCTTATAACCCTACTTATAGCTACCCATGAACCTCCGAGGGCGGCAGAGGGCTCAGGGTTGAGGATTTCAAGCTGGCTACCGAGGGTTTACTTGGAGGCTCAAGGGTAGTTAGTGTTAAGTGGGGCTCTAAGTACGCTAAGTAGGGTCATCGGCAGAGTTACCCTACTTGCAAAGCCATGTAAAACTACCCGTGGGCGGTTGTCAAAATTGTGATCCCTTTTGGGTTACCCTAGATATATTCGTTGCCGTATTCAAATAGGCATCCAAAACCCAGACCCCTGGGAGGATCCAATACAAGAATGACCCAATAGTAGTATACGGTGCTATTTGGGGGCTCTATTTTTTGGATCCTCCCAGGGGTCTGGGAAAGGGATCAGAATTTTGACAACCGCCCCCCATGAACCTCCCAGTACGCCCTGGGCCCTAGGGCTTGGTACACTGCACCCAGGACCGGCGTAGGGTTTTAGGGTTTAGGGTTTAGGGTTCAGGGTTCAGGGTTTAGGGTTTAGGGTTCGTAGACCCAAGAGTCACCTAGGACAAAAAAAAGTGTCTGTTTTTGGTTTAAAGGGGCTTACCTCAACCCTAAGAGAAGGGAACAAGGGCCTACTCCGGGTCCTATGTTCAGAGGAGGATGTCTGTGTTGGCCGTTTAACCCTCTGACAAATATCTCTATATATAGGATCCCTTATCAACCCAAATAAGGAAAATCCTAAAGCCTAAACCCTAAACCCTAAAGGATGTGTTCCAGCCCGAGCGGCATGCTTCCGCAGGAAGTGCCCATCCTGCCGCACCCGGTGCTGCACCACCTCCTGCCAGCTTGCGTCCCCAAGACCCTAAACCCCTGAAAGGCAGACCCCTAAACCCTAAACCCTTAACCCTAAACCCTTAACCCTAAACCCTAAACCTCCTGAGCCTACCAGGAAGGCGACCTGAATCTAAATCATCAGGCTGGACCGGGTGTTTCTTGGTTAACCGCGCACGCAAACCTCGGCCAAGACAAACACTCAACTCAAAACCGGGGAGAATTCTCCAGAATCCACAACCCTAAACCCATAAATCCTGAAACGCCCGTTCCTATACCTTTAGTTGCATCCTGTACCCTTAATCTAGTGCTCGTTGAGGAAGAGCCCCGCGGCAAGAATAAGACAGGTGTCTAAAACTAAATCGGGGTTCAAGGGTTTGGCTGTTGGTTGAGGTTGTCTGGCAAGTACCCGCTGATGCTGAACTCACTAGACGGTACAGCAGTTCGTCAATTTTCGGGTGGCAGGGTAAAGTTCATGGTCGGGTGAGGTGCAAGACTCTTTATCCCAGAATGCAACTATACTCCCCTTAGAACCTTCAAAAAAGTGCTTAATTTCTTTAAAAAATAATTCCGAGGGGGATATAGGCAAGGCGAAGAGCTGTTCTTGACCCCAACCCCTAAACCCTAAACCCTAAACCCTAAAAAGCTGTTCTTCAAGGCATCTCCTCCAGCATGTGGAAGTCGTCGTTGTGTATGTGGAGGTCCTGTGCTGGCAGTGCAGAAGGAAGTGCAGAAGGCGGAAACATTTTCGAAAATCTAGAGCTCAACCTGCCCTAAACCCTGAAACCTGAAACCTGAAACCCTAAACCCTAAGCCTTAAACTCTGAAACCTGAACCCTAAACCCTAAACCCTAAACCCTAAACCCTAAACCCTAAACCCTAAACCCTAAACCCTAAACCAAACCGAAACCCGAAACTTGGACTTAGCCCCAGACCACATCGGCGTCCCAGTCGAGCATGCCGCGGAACTTGTACGAGCCAAGTAGAACTCCATCAGTAACGATATAGCCTGGAGCCAAGGGTTTAGGGTTTAGGGTTTAGGGTGTAGGTTTAGGATTTGCTTAAGAACCCCCCCCCAAAAAAAAAAAATCTTCCTGATGAGGGTAAAATAGGGACTATTATTCTTATTATTATCATTTTTGTTATTTTTATTTATTTAATTGTTTTTCTTTTTTTTGGGGTGGGTTCTTAAGCAACTAGTAGTGCGGCCAGTGGAGACGAGGAAACAAGGCGCCTGTGAGAGGTTTGGGACTTTTAAGTCTTTGGGGTAAAGGTTTAGTGTTTAGGGTTGAATTTATGGCTTTAGGGCCTATGGGTTTAGGGTGTCTGACAACCGGTCTTGAAGAACGGGGGAATCACCAAAATCAGAGTTACCCCGTCGTGGCAACTGTTGCTTTTAAGGGAATGGCTGCGGGGGTGGGGGGGGCAACGAAGCACACCTCACATTACCATTAGTAGCACAGGGACCAGAATTTAGATCCCTTAACCCAAAAGCCCCACCCTCTCCCCATCTGTATCTATACATCTTCCAAGCATCCTAGTAAAGCTTAACAATCATATTGTTGAAATCAAATGGCAATATCATAAGAGTATTGCGGGTTTTCAGTTTCCTAGATAGTAAATCAACATGAAAAAAGGTTGTGAAAAGGAATCACGAATAATCATATTTCATTTCGACTACTTAATCCACATGCAGCGCAAAGGGGCCTGTAGGGTTCACGTTGGTGTTGGGGCCGAAATTAAGGTCTATGGGGGCCTGACGATGCCTTAGGGCTCAGGAGGGCTTAGGGTGTTAATTGGGTTTCAGGATTTAGGGTAAGGGCTTAGGGCTTAGGGTTTAATTTGGGTTCAGGATTTGGTTTCAGGATTTGATCTTTGGGCTTCAGGAAAAAAGGGGGAATACTCAGGCAGGTGCGGATGCCAAGCTCCTTGAACACCCCGTCAATGTAGAACAGGAGGTGTCGCATGGTCTCCTCGCAAGCGGGCACTCGTAAATCATACAGAACCCTCTCAATCCCCAAGCTAGAAACCTAAAGCCTAAAGCGTAAGCTAAACTCAGAACCCCACACCCCTGACCCCTGAACCCTGCGTTCCCCGTGCAGACGTTGCTGGGCACTGGACTACACATGCATATGTGTTCCCCATCCCCCAGCCCCATGGTCCCAACCTGCTGTGGCCCCGCAAAATTGTCAAGGGGACCCTGTGAAACATCAGGGTTTAGGGCTTAGGGTTTCGGGTTTAGGGTTCTGAAACTCCTGACGACCATCTGGGGACCCCCTACGGACCTCCTACGGACCCTTCGGACACCCCAAGCTTGCCTTCAACAGCTGCACAATCTCAAACCTCACTTTCAAACCTTCTTGGGACCCTAAACCCTAAACCCTAAACCCTAAACCCTAAACCCTAAACCCTAAACCCTAAACCCTAAACCCTAAACCCTAAACGCCCCTCGATTTCCTGGGACCCCTGAACCTGGGGACCCACTCCTTGCAGGCCTGTGCCGGGCTTCTACGGCTTTCTTCTATACTGAACTTGGAACCCTAGCAGAAACTATACATTTTGCTGTTTCTTAGGAATTAAGGTACCCAAAAATTAAAAATTATTTCCAAATAGGGATCTAAGTCTTGTGACCGCAAGGACTTTCCTGGACACTTGCCTTGGGACCCCTGAACCCCTGAGGAAGTATTTTGAAAGCCGCCGATTTAAAATTGAGTTTGGGGGCTAAACCCTAGAAGGAATAAGTTAGGGTCAGGGTGGTTTTGCCGTCTGAGACGGCGTGGGGTGGGATGAAAGTGTTAGATGGCCCTCCGCAATCGGGCCATGGCTGCTCTTCGCATTTCACGAAGCTTTCGAAGCTAGTCTGCATACCAGCCTTCACAGCTTCTGCGCCTACTACAGCAACCCCTAAGCCTAAACCCTATTGGGCTTCCGCGTCTGCGTTTTGGGCTTAGCGGTTCAGGGTTTGGGGTTGCTGCTTTAGGGCGCGCTCCTTGCAGCAAGGTGGAACCGCCCACCCGCGGTAGACCTTGCCGAGACGTGCGACAGGACTAAAACTGTCCCAGAAGTAGCCAACGTTCTCGCCAGAGAAGTGGTAACAAGCACTCCCATTCGGCTGGCTTCATCTACAATTAAAAAAAGAAGTTGTTCATCTGCATATGAATAGATCAGGCGCATTAGGTGGTTTTGGAAGCACTTATGATTCAAAATCTGTTAATGTTCAAAATCGCCATGCTCAAAAAATAATGGTGTCGAAGCCTGAATTTGACGAAGCAACGATCGTTCTATTTCTATTGCTTCGCAGAATGAGAATGCCCATCATCTCCAAACCTGACCAAACAAGTACCCTTCTACGGACAGCATCACTCCGATTTGGCGGTTTTACGCAATGCTAGCTCGGGCTTCCCAAGACTGCCCGCAGGGTTTAGGGCAAAGAGGCTGCGGTGTAGATTTCAGTTCTGACCTACCTGCTTAAGCGCTGATAGGGGACAAGATGCTAGAACTAGGGCCATACAAACCCAATCACCAAAGAGCTACTCTACCTAAAATACTAAAACCGCAGCTATGGCGACCTGCATCTGTTTCCATCTTCAGTTGTGTAGGATTTAAGCTGCAACCCGCAATAAAACTGCAGGTAAACAGAGCCCCAGTTACCCAAAGCAACCAGAAGCAGTTCATCCGATCGACTTTCAACCTTCAACTTCTGGTTGAGGACTGGGCTCGGTAGGGTTGTGTGTGCGTTGGCGTTTGCTTGTTTTCTGTCCCCCTAGACGTACACAAACATATCACGGCAGAAGAAAAAAGCATACGTGCAAAAGTGGGATCTGAAGCTGGAGTCTGCCAGCGGCCTGCTCTGAGTCCCCTGCCCAGTCTGGCACCGGACAGTTTGTCACAGCCAGGCTGCAGCCGAAATGGCGGGTTACGCCTTCCGGACCAGTGAAGTCCTGGGCTGCATCTTGGACGACTTGGGAGGTTCATGGGTAGTTGGCCAATGCGCTTCAAATGACCTGGCACTTTCCTTGGTTTTGGACGCTTTCCTTCGGTTTTTTTGGCTTTGCCGCTGGGGCGGGGGGGCGGGGGGGGATAAGAACGTCATTCATATTGTGTCCATGCCCAAAACACTGGTATTTGCAGCGTTTTCGCCTCTTTGTACAACATCCTGCACAAGGATGTGGAACAAGAAAATCTGTCACAAGCGTCCATGCCTTTCGCGACCATGCCCCAAAAATGGTATTTGCAGCGTTTATGCCCAAAACACAGGTATTTGCATCGAGCGTTTTCACCTCTTTGTACAACATCCTGCACAAGGATGTGGAACAAGAAAATCTGTCAGAAGCGTTTACCTTGCACTAAAAAACCCCAAACATGCTGTCCCAAAAAGAATGGCTTCACTCAAACCTCCCAACCATGCTTGTCCCAAAAGGAATAGCTTTTGGAACCCCCGAAAATCAGCTTTTCTGCTCCGTACCACGCCTGCCAGTACGAACGATGTGTCACGCAGACCGCACCCAGGCAAACTAAGGCGCGTTAACCGGGTAGTTATAAGTGGCATTACAAGTAGGGTAGCTAAAGTTATACCTGGTTCGAACATGATTCAGGGTACTTATATAAACCTACTTATAACTACCCACAAGCGTTCAAGTAGACCCAAAGAGTCGGAATAAAAGAGGATGCCCTTGTTGGTGCCAAGGGGCTTAAGAGGAAACGGAAACTCTAAAAAAGGGGAAGAAGGGCCTACTTTGGGTGCGCATGTCTGAGCTCCATATGGGCCTCTTTTGGACCCCCTATGATATGCATGCATGGGTCCGGATCGCCTTTGCTTGTGCCTGGTGTGCGCGACGGCATTGAGGTGCTAGCAGTTGGTAGGGCAAGCCAAGCTCCTATGGAAGGCTTATTGCTTGTTGTTTTGGATCTCTGATGCCCTCTCTAGATCCACCTATGAACCGCGATTCCTACACTTGAGACTGAAGCAACAAAGCCCTAACCCTAAACCCTAAACCCCAACATACCACACAGCCGAGCTAGAGAGACCCAGAGCTCCGGGCACCCGACCTTGAGATGGTTGCTCTCCATGAAGACCTGTGCCTGCTTCTCCGGCTTCAGCCTGTGAGGTGAGGTTGGAGAGTCTTGGGGCTTTGGGGTTTCGAAGTTAAGGGGTGTGAAGGTCGAAGGTGCCTTCTAGGGTATGTAGTAGAATCCAGGACCTGAGGGCTGTCATGGGAGGGAAACCAGGGAGTGCAGGGCGCGTGCTTTTGGTAACGGCGCGCTTGCGGTGTGGTTGACGAAGGCTTGCGTGTAACTTGCAGTGCAGGTTCGAGAGGGGAACCCTTCGCTCGAAAATCGTAACCCTACAAAGCCCTAATTCGCCTAGGACCTGTTGGCGTCAGAGGGCCTTCCTTATGCTATCTTACACTACAGGGATTCCCCCGCCTGTACTTACCCCTTTTCGTAAATGTTGTGGAAGCTTGGCAATGGAGAACCCCCTAAAACCTAAACCCGAAACCCTAAACCAGCGGTCCCTAGCATGGACACCCCAAGATCTAAGACGTCCCTGCCAGGCCGAGGCAGTCGACCTGGCAGTGTTCAACGCTCAACACGCGACAAATATCCAGGGTTTAGGGTTTAGGGTTTAGGGTTTAAGGCTAGAGACCCGCCTCCGGCTCTTCTTCGAGGCGGCGGCCACCGGACCCAAGGCCGCAGACTCCTCGCCGAACCTCGGCAAGTGCCGCTGCTGCTGCTTCCACAGCTAGACCCAGGAGTAACCTAGGAATAAAGGGGTTTAGGGTTTAGGGTTTAGGGTTTAGGGTTTAGGAACCTTAACCCTAAAAATGGAATAAGGGCCTACTCTGGGTCCTAGACAGTGCTTTTCCTTGGTAGCCCAGGAGCCGTACTGTAATGTGGGCAGCCTATTTCGGGGTTGGTTTAGGGTTTAAGGTTTAGGTTTAGGGTTCAGGGCTTCATGGGTAGTTACAAGTGGGGTTACAAGTAGGGTAACTGTAAATATACCCGGTTGTAACCCGCAGTTAGGGTAATCACTTATGATCCTATAACTACAATTAGGGCTCGAGAGTGGAGGGCGATTGAAGGTGTAATTCTGGTTTCGGGTTTAGGGTTTAGGGTGGGTCCACCCGACGAGAACGAATCCATCGTCTATCTGCGGAGGTATGAGTATGCCCATCTTGGCCAAGTGAAGCGTGTGAGATGCGTGGGAAACGTTCATCCAAAAAACCGTACCCCAAAACATCCGACGGCCCAAGCGCGAAGCAACGCAACACCCGAATCCATCCTGACCCTACTGCTAAGCCCCAAACCCTCAACCCAAAACCCTAAAACCCAAACCCTAAACCCTAATCCCTAAACCCAAAACCCAAAACCCAAAACCCTAAACCCCTCAAGGTTGCGGCCACGGCGAGGCCAAAGCCACCCCGTCAGGAGGCACGTCGCTGCGTCCATAGAGGTGGGGCCTTTGGGTGCTGAGGCTGGAGCTTGCGCTTGCAGAGAGAGCGAGAGAGAGGGAGGGAGAGAGGGGAGGGAGAGAGAGAGAGAGTCGTGAGAGAGAGAGGAGAGCGAGAGAGAGTCGTGAGAGAGAGAGGAGAGAGAGAGAGAGAGAGAGAGACAGAGAGAGCGAAAGAAAGAGGAGAGGGAGAGGGAGGAGGGAGAGAGAGAGAGAGAGGAGGGAGAGAGAGAAAGAGAGGAGGGAGAGGAGGAGGGAAAGAGAGAGAGAGAGGGGAGGGAAAGAGAGAGAGAGGGAGACAAAGAGAAAGAGGAGGGGGAGAGAGAGAAAAGAGAAAAGAGAAAAGAGAAAAGAGAAAAGAGAAAAGAGAAAAGAGAAAAGGAGAAAAGAGAAAAGATAAAGGATAAAAGAGAAAAGATAAAAGAGAAAAGATAAAAGAGAAAAGAGAAAAGAGAAACGATAAACGAGAAAAGAGAAAAAGAAAAGAGAAAAGAGAAAAGGATAACAATAAAGAGAAAGAGAAAGATAAATATAAAGATAAAGAGAAAGAGAGAACCTGAGGCCCCCTTGGCCCTCTCTCTTAAGGGGGCCCCCTTCAGAAAAGCTTTGCTCAGAGGGAGCTGAAAAGCAAAAGCTTCGAGAGAAGCTGTGACCAAAAAAAGTGGGACCTAAGGGGTCTTCTGCACATAGTTTGGGGCATGTAGGTTCAGGGGCTTAGGGTTTCAGGTCTGGCCTAGGTATGGACGTTTGAATAAGGAGGTGGCTTTGCGAAGCTAAGGGTGCCTCGCACAGGACTCAGGAAAAGACCGGCCACTTTAACCCTCAACCCCTCAACCTTCAACTCCCTCCCGAAACCCCTCAAGCCTCAACCCCTCAATCCTCAACCCTCAACCTCTTCACCAGCTGAGGCTTAACTAATTATTTCTACATGCTCTTGCCCTAAACCCTAAACCCCAAGCCCTAAACCCCAAACCCCTCAACCCCAAGCCCCAAGCCCTATAGGCCCCAAACAGCGCGCCGATCCGGCGTCCGAGCCCGAACGCGGGCTGCGACTCCGGGCCACCCAGCCCGGACATATCCGGAAGTTCGAGAATCGAGGCAAAGGGGCAGAGGGCGAAGCGGCTGCTGCGGTGCTTCCAGCCAGGCCTCAAAGAAACTGTAGGGTTTAGGGTTTAGGGTTTAGGGTTTAGGGTTTAAGGTTTAGGGGTTCAGGGTAGCTCCGGGGGGTTGGGGGGGGGTTTGAAGGCTTAGGGTTTTTCTTGAGGTTTTGGAGGGTTTAGAGTTTCAGGGTTCTTGAGGTCTGGGCTTCAGGGTTTAATTGGCGTTGAGGGTCTTTGAGCTTTGGGGTTTAGCTTAAACCCTAGACCCTAGACCCTAAACCCTAAACCGTAAACCCTAAACTCCTGTTTCTTTTCAGCGTTTCGGGCGTAGGGCGTAGGGGTTCAGCCTCCACGGAGGAGATCAGGGGGTTGAGCTACCAGGTCTCGGTGTCCATGAGCGGCTAGAAGAGGAAGGCCTAAATAGGGTTTAGGGTTTAGGGTTATGGGGCTTTGGGACTCTTGGGGTTGTCAGGATCGAAGGTTCGGAGTCTTCGGCTTTACGAAAGTCTTCGGCGTTCGCCTGCATTCTCTTCTTTGCAAACAGCCATGTCCAAGCTGGATGGCTGTGGGGTTTAGTCGAGTCCCCAGTCTCCACCTCAACACCCTAAAGCCTAAACCCCAAACCATGAACTCTAAACCCTGAACCCTAAACCCTAAACACTAAACCCCTAAACCCCTAAACCCCTAAACCCCTAAACCCCTAAACCCCTAAACCCCTAAACCCCTAAACCCCTAAACCCCTAAACCCCTACACCCCTAAACCCCTAAACCCCTAAACCCCTAAACCCCTAACCCTAAACCCCTAACCCTAAACCGTATCGGTGCTTTGGGCCGAACTGTGGGGGCGCAGCTGCCGCGTCCTTTGACGTCACCTCACGCACTCTGTGAGGTGCCGGTCTCTGCAAGACCCCTAAACCCTAAACCCTAAACCCTAAACCCTAAGCCCTAAGCCCTAAACCCTAAACCCTAAACCCTAAACCCTAAACCCTAAACCCTAAACCCTAAACCCTAGCAAAAAATCTGCTTTTGCTGTTTCTTAGGAATTAGAGTACCGAAAAATTAAAAATTCTGCCCAAGAAGCCCTAAGGCATCACCCATATGGTCAATTCTCAACAGTATAGCCCCTTGCTTGGGGGAGGGCGGGGTGAGGGGTAGGGTACAGGGTACAGGGTGCAGGGTGCAGGGTGCAGGGTGCAGGGTGCAGGGTTTAGGGTTGAAGGTTTAGGGTCTCGCTGTGATGATACGGCCTCTTATGTACTTACACAGGCTACCTGTAAGGATATCCAAATGCACTCCGCAAGTGTCGTGCCTTCCCCCCCCCCCCCCAACCCACTCCCACCCGAAACTACACATGTAAGGAATATACCAATCAGGAACCCCCATGTAGTTTAAGGAACTAAACTAGGGAATATACCAATGAGGATCCCTATGTAGTTTAAGGAATGAAATTAGGGCTGTCGGGCTCCCTGGCATTGCGCATGATTGCAAGCCTCGACCAGGGGTGTGCGCGTTGCCCGCATCGCAAAGTCCAACAGCGCCCACCTGACCGGTTTGGGCTTCAGTTAGGTTAGCCCCCGTGCAGTCAGAGTACCTTAACCAGGAATTTATAGATCCGCAGGAAGTATAAAGGGTGTGTGTGTGTGTTAGGTCCTAAAGGAAGGTCCGTCGCAACCTTGGCGCGGCGGCGGCAAGTGCAACCGCTTCAACCCAAAACCCTTTATCGCCGATGCCGCAAACACCCTGAGCCTCAACTCTACACATCACAAAAGTCTAAAGCCCTTAATCCTAAACCCTATAACTTGGGATGTTCCCCCTTACACTAACAGCCCTTCATAGGGATTATAAGAGGGCTACTTGAATCCCTATCATTCAGGACTGTTAGTATGAGGGGGAACATCCCAAATCTATACTACCATTTGCTTAAGAACCCCCCAAAAAATGAAATAATACTCCCCTATATTACCTTTATGAGGAAGAACATTTTGTATTCTTTGGGGTTCTTAAGCAAATAGTAGCATAACCCCTGAACCCCCAACGTTTGGGATCT